CGGCAGCTGCGTGGGGAGGAGGCTGGCCCCCAGCATCGGTGGGAAGCTGCGACATCGCTTTACGCTGGTGACCCCCTTGGAGATGTGTGAGGCACAAGCGGGGGCGCGGGGGGTGATTTAAACAACAAAACATCAACCATTAGCGACTCCCCTCGGGCAAAAACAATATTAAAAAGATAACGAGAAATGTACGGCTTTGTGGGTGAGTGAGGGAGGACTTCCAGTGCGTGTGTTTAATCTCCCACGGCTGCGGTGCCCTGGGAGGGTAGGGCTTTGACCTGCCCGTTGATGCGCACAAGAGTTGTTTTTTTTTTCTGTTGCTTTTATGCATGTCATATAGCGTATTGGGATTTGGATTATTCGGTCTTTTTTTTTTGCTTTTGGTTTAACTCTTGGTGAGCAACGAGAGTAGCAGCAAGGATCGTGACAGCTGGGAAGTAAATCGTTGCTACTGATGACTTCTTTTTTCAATGCGTACTCTTTCTTCTAGTAACCCACTGTTTTTTTTACTATGCGGGTTGATTACATTTTTTTTTATTCGCTTCTTGTTGTTTGCTTAAACTTGGCGTTCGCCTGGATGCGTGGTTTATTCGCCTCTCGTTCTTGGTGTTGTCTTTTTTTGTTGTTGTTGCCCTGTGCGTGTGTGTGTGTTTCTGTGTGCTGTAAAGCGGCGCGATGTTCGGAGAGCTGGTGTGCGGCCCTCCGGGTAGCGGCAAGACGACCTACTGTGAAGGGAAGCGGCAGTTTCTTAGTGTGTACGACCCAACACGGCCCGTCGTCCTGCTTAATTTGGATCCCGCCAACGAAGACGTCTTCCCGTATCCGTGCGATGTCGACGTGCGGGAACTTGTCTCACACGCGCGTGTCATGGCGGACGAAGGCCTGGGTCCAAATGGATGCTACGTGTTTTGCGCGGCTGTGATGGAGCGCAACATGGACTGGATTCGTCGCAAGATTGAGGAGGCTGTGGAGCGGCGACTGCAGGATGTTGCCGCGACGGCGACCGCCCACGGAGCATCAGGCGGGTTGCCGTCGACGCGTGCGCCATACCTTATTGTGGACTGCCCAGGGCAGGTGGAGTTCTACGTGGGGGCGTCTGTCATGCATACGCTCTTCAGGATGCTGGAGAAGCGGTTGTCGTGCTCCCTGTGCACGGTTCACCTCGTCGATGCCGCCGTCTCCACGCGTGATGTGGCAACGTACGTGTCAAGCTGCTTGCTGAGCATCACCACGATGATCGACCACGAGCTTCCGCACGTGAATGTGATGAGCAAGTGGGACACGCTTTCCGTGGAGGAGGCGGAGGAGGGGGAGACTTTCTTGCGCGCCTCGCACTTCATGGCGGAGGATTTTGACCGCTTGTGGAAGCGGCAGTTGCGACGGCGACGACGGGAGCACCGCCGGGCGCAGATGTACCCCACATCCTCGACGGACGCGTCGTGTGGTGATCCGAGGCGGTGGGAGAAGGAAGAGGCGGAGGTGGAGGTAATTGACCTGCAGGCAGACGGCGGCCGGCTCTACCGCTACAGCAGGGCGATTATGGAGGTGGTGGACGGGTACGGCCTGGTGGGGTTTCGGCCCCTCGACGTGCAGTCGCAGGAGATGATGCTGCGACTCACACAGCAGATTGATGAGGCCGTCGGTAATTTTGTGTGAACATGTGACGGGGGAGGGTACAAGCGGAGAAGGAAAGAAAGAAATATGAAAATTCCTATGAGGATTTTGCTTTTTGTTCCTCTTTTTTTTTTTTCCTTTTGTTCTCAACCACCCATCCCGTGCTTTCTGCGGCTTTCTCTCTCTTTTTCCCTCTGCGTGTGCGTGCAAGAAGGTCTAGTGAAGATGGACGGCTTGCTAGGGATCCTTCGCACATCCACCGACAACGAGGCACGCCGAAAGGCGGCGTCGCAGCTGCGGCAGGTGCAGGAGGAAACACCGGTGGAGTTTCTCCGCTTTACGTGGGAGGGCATCGCCTCCTCTGCGTTGACGCCAGACGAGCGCTTTTTCCTTGCCTCCACGGTGCTGGAGTTTGTCGAGCAATCGTGGCGCAATGCTGTTCCCAAGGATGTGCAGCTGGACCTCATTGACGGCTACGCGCAGCTGCTACTACGCGAGCCCCTGCCGTCTTTGTTCTTGGCTCGGAAGGTGGCAACGGTGCTGTGCGTTATGGTCTTGCGCTCTGCGGTAAAAGCCATGCCGGGCGCATTGCCGGGGCCAACGGAGCGCGTGGCGCGGTTGTTGTCGGATGCCTGTGTGCGAGCCGCGTCGGGTGTGACGGTTGCCTCGATGGGATTCCTCACGCAGTGTCTCTTAACTCTGCATGTCTTTCTCAAGGAGGCGCAGCGGAAGCGTATTGGCAACATGTTTGGAAGGCTGTGTACTCTGTTTGTCCCTGTCATGTCGAATCTTTTTGCGTCCAGCGCATCCTGGGAGCACGTTGAATTCTATTTGCCTCTGCTGTTCCTCATGAAGGGTGCCCTGCGCGTCTTTGGCGTCGGCGTGTTTGAGCCAAGCTTCTATCCCTATCTGCTTACGATAACGTGGGACCTCACACGTGGCGTGACGCTACCAGGGCAACAGCAGCAGCAGCATCATCAGCTGCTGCAGTGCCGCCAGCGTTTGCTGGAGTACGCCCTGAAGGCGCAGCTAAAGGCGGTGGCCACCTTCCCTGCACGACTGAGCGAGCTTCCGCCAGAGTTTTTTTTGGCACACGGAGGTGCTCTGGAGGGTACCGACTCGCTCTTCCGTCTTCTTGTCTCCGTTGTTGAGACCCCGCTGGGCTTCGTTGCCTCGGAAAAGATGCTGGTCCGATCCATGGCCCTCTTTACCGCCTTGTTGCTGGAAGAGGACTCCGTGGAGTTCGTCAAGGAGCAGCTCATCGCGTTCGCGGACTCCCCGCTGCTGCATCGTCTCCTGGAGCGCGTGACGATGCTGCTTGCGGATGACGTGCGCGCGTCAATGCTGCAGGAGTGGGAAAGTGAACCGGAGCGGTTTGTTTTGGAATTAGATACGACCGTCGTGGAGGATGAGGGTAGTGCGACCTGCGCCGCGGAGGAGTTGCTGCTTGCCCTGACAGGCTCGACGAACTGTGCCACACGCAGTCTTGCGGCAGAGTGGCAGATCGTGAACGCCTTTCTTGCTGGCGACGACCTCGCCCGCGTTACGGCCGCATTGCATGCGATTGGGCTGTGCTACCACACCATGTCTGTGGGTCAGGACCCTGCGGGCTACCTGGCCTTTCTGACAGGAAAACTCATTCCACTCATTCGCGGCGCCGACGCCGCCGCCGCCCCTGCCTCACCCTTCGTTCTACGCCGTGTTGTTTGGATGACGGGTATGTGGTGCGAGTCCGTGCAGGAGACGTCTGTGCGACGCGAGGTTCACGCCGCGTTGGGGTCCTTGTTGGTTTCCTCGACCTCTACCGTGGTGTTGTTGACGCTGCTGCGCTCTATAGGCAACTTCGTTGATGACTCAAACTTTAGGCGTGCGGAGCTCACGCCGGACTACGTTCAAGATGTGCTGCTGACAATCCAACGCCTCCTGCCGCAGCTGCGTACCCCGTCCAGCGTGCGGGTCCTCGCAGAGCTTATGTACGGCCTGGTTTCACGCGGGGTGCTGAACCCTGACAATGGCGCGAGGCTGCTGGATGTGGTGCTGCCCGCCGTGTATCGGTTTATAGGCGAAGCCGACGTCGCGATGAAGGCAAACGAGTCAGTGGACGGCGCGGAGGTGGATGCGGGTTCCTTGGGGGTCTTGCTGCAGTGCACCGCCGCATGCACGCAGCTCGCCTCGCCAGAGATGGAGCGTCATGTGTGGTCCCTGTTTCCCAACGTGGTTTTCCCTTGCACCGTGCCTGAAGGCAAATTAACGCCTTGGGTGGAGGATAACGCCTGGGAACTGCTCTTGGAGATGTCTCAAAGTGTCCATGCATGGAATCCGATCACGTCTGATGCCCTTGCGTGGTGCTTTGAGAACGTGAAGCGTGACATGGCGGTTCTCTCGCTGGTGGTGCGTTGCACTTACTGTCTGCTGCTGCTCTGCCCGCATCCCGCGGAGCTCGTTGACGCCGCGCTGGTGGATCGTGCGCTGGAGCTGTTGACACAAACTCAGTGCACTGAACTTCTCACCGCCTCTTTCGCTCTGCTGGGCGTGATGGTGCGACGAGGCACCCTGGCACTGCGGTGTCACCTGGTCGATTTTGCGGTTCGCCGGCTGCTTTCCGCAGAGTCTGTGCAGGCAGAGTCGGACAACGTGCACGTGGCGCTCCTGCTCGCCTGGTGCCTGCCGCCGTGCGGGGAGAGTGCCGTTCTGGACTCCCTGCTGCTGAACGTTGGGCGTCACCCGAATGCGGCGTCGTTTGCGGAGCGCCTCGTGTTGCTGTTGGATGTGTCACCGAGCACGTTGGTCATAAATCAGCTGGAGGGGCTGCTGCATCTGCTACTGACAGAGCAACTCCAACCGCTTCTGGGCACCAAGGACGTTGCGATGGTGCAGTGCGCCTTGGCGGGGGCTTCGACTCCGGCGCAGGAGGAGGACTGGGACGACCACATGTCGGAGGCACGGCGTGAACCGACAGAGATGCTTCTAGAGTTGTTTGGGGATCAGGGTGTGGCGAACGGGTCGCCGCACCTGCTGCGGCTCCTCACTCTCTTTGGCATGCATGTGAACCCCGCAATGCCTGCTGCATCTTGATTATAACAACAACAACAACAAAAAAAAAAGATGATTTTTCTGCGTCGTTCTCAGAGTGTGTCTGTGTGTGCTTACAGCAGCTGTGCCTGTGCAGTGGCTGAAGGGGGCGTTCTGTAATTGCCACTACGAATAAACCAAGGTAAGGACGCACACACGCACATACACAACCCGCAAATGCGATGGAGGGGGCTGTGGTGGTGGTGGGCTCCACTTTGGTCCTGGCGACATGCTCCTGCCGTTGCTTCTCTGTCTGCTTGCCTGTGTCTCTCTCTGTGTGTGTAATAATATTTTTTTCCCTCTCCTCTTTCGCTATACAGACATCCATCAAACTACATGCCCTACCCCGTGGATGAACTACCTCAGATGCATGGTGGCGACTGCGGGGGTTTCTCTGCGGATTCGTTCTGCATTTTCTATAATTTCCTCCTTTTTCTTTGCTTATGCGCTGGGGCGCGATGACGTTCTCCTCACTGCGTTGGGCATTAGTAAGCCACCCGGTTACCTTCCCTTCACACACACACGCCCCCGTACTTTGTTGCGCCACAGGTGACGAGCACTGGCTAGCGGTGGGGCGAAGCAGCAAGGGTAGTTCTGCCTAAGCACTATATACACATATACACACCTATCGTTGTGCCGACCCCAGTAGTAATTTGTCTTTGCCCTCACCCGGCGGCTGCGCTGAAGCGGGAGCTTGGGCGTGGCACAGGACGGGCGCGGGAGGAAAGGCGGGAAAGGGAGGGAGAGGAGACGCAGGAGCCCGGCCGGGCAACATGGCGGAGACGGGGGAAGCGCAGCCGAACGAGTTGAAAGCCGCCGCAATTCCCGTCGATGGTCTCACTTTTGTGGATGAAGCCAAACTGCACTCAGACTTCCGTCGGCTGAAGGGCAACCAGATGTACTTCGTGGACCACTGCGTGTTCTACGAAAGGAACGGTGGACGCGGCGAGCGCCGCATTTTCGCCCTCACCCCCACGGCCTTCTTTGTGCTTGACCATCACGGTGCGATGGAGCGGGCGAGCCCCTACGACCTCATTGCGGCCATCTACCAGAAGAAAACAAAGGACAAGCGGGCGCTGTTCAGTGCGGCCGAGCACCACCTGCTACTGAAGATCCCGAGCGAAATTGATTGCCACGTCAGCTTTGGCAACCCTGCCGTCTTGCAGAAGTGTGTGCACGTGTTCGTCACGCTGCTGCAGGCGCAGCGTGGGACGGCCGTCAGCGTGAAGGAGGTCCCAGCCGAAAAGGAAATTGAGTTCTTCTGCAGCGAGCTGCGGCCGGAGGGGTATTACACCCCGCGGGAAGTGGCGGAAATAAATCGTCAGCGATCCCACTTTGCGACCTACATCCGCGAGGGCCGGGCGCAGGTGACGGGGCTGCTCTCGGAGATAGAGGCAGCCAAAGCCCAAATTGCGGCCCACGAGGAGGAGGTGGAAGACCTCAAAAGAAAAGGCATTGACGAGACGTCCATTCGAACGCGCAAGGCGAACTTGGAGGGGCAGCAGGTGCGGCTGCATAGGCAGATGTCACACAAGCACGACGAGTGCGAGAGGGTGCTCGACAGCGTCAAGGTGCTGCAGGAGCGGTTGGCGGCGGCGCGTGACAACACGGAAGGGCTGGTGGAGAAGGGTCTGGCGGAGCGGAGAGCGGAGGTGAATAAAAAACATGAGGAAGCGGCTGACCTTCGCCGCGCTGCTCATCAGAAGGAGAAAAATGCCCTCGTAGGGACCATTGCTGTGGACAAGAAGGAGCTGCACGCCGTATGGGCGGGTGCGACGGACGCCAAGAGACGGGGGCTGGTGGCGCAGGTTGAAGCGTCGCTTGTGGCGCTGGAGCGGGAGGATGAGTCCGCGTACCGCCTACAGAAGTTTCTCGCCACCATCAACGGCGAATTACAGCTGCACAGTGATCAGATCAGCGCACTTAATCTTGAGAAGCAAAATGTGCTGAATGAGCGTGAAAAGAAGACAGTGGGGCCTTCACAGGCCGCGGCGGCTGCCGCAGTCGAGGGGGACCCGCTCGACGACCCCCTGCTTGGTTTGTCTGCGTCCCCCACAAATGCCGTTGCCGCTGCCTTTGAGGATCCGTTGGCGACTCCCCCCGCCGAAGAGGATCTTCTCTGATGACATCCTGCTGCTGGCGTAATATTTGCTCTCCACCACCATTTTTATAAATGTGAGGCTTTGCTTTTATTATTATTATTTTTTTTTTCATAGCTCAGTGTTTTGTTTTTAACTTTTAACGGCGTGTATTCCACACACATATTTCACCGCCCCCCTCTGGTGTATGTGTAGTTGAAGAGCATTATTTTTTGACTAACTTTCTTCGAGCAGGAGGGGGGGGGGTGCCTTTTCTGGCACTTTTCTTCGGCCCATCTGCCGCCTCCCCCGGCTTTGTCCCTTTCTCCTTTTTGGCGTGCCGCTTCGAGGCTATCGTTTTTTATCTCCTTGCTTTCGTTTGTTTGTTTTGTTTTGTCGCCTGTATTTTTGTGTGCTTCTGTGTGTCCGTGTGTGTGGGTGCACCCCGCCCCGCAGGGCGTGTTGTCTCGGCGCGGGAGCTGGTGGGTATTGCCCCCCCCCCGCCCTTCTTCTTCTTCTTTTCCCCTTTGCGCTTGCGCGTCTCCGCGTCCCCCACGCATGCGCCTCTTTTTGCTTCTCTTCGGCGCGCGGTGGAGGAAGGTTTGTGGTAGCTCGCGGTTAACTCCATCCAACGCCAACGGTTGAGAAGTAAACAGCAACAGCAACAAGAGGAAACTACAGGAGCCAAAACAAAGGATGATGCGCCGTTTGATGATCGCTTCGCCCGTCGCGCGCCGCGTGACCGCCGCGGTTCCCTCGTCTACGTCACTGGTGGTGCGTAGGGCGTCGACGGTAGCCATTTCCGTGCAGGGGCTGCACTACGTCGGCACCGGCCTCGCCGCCATCGCGCTCGCGGGTGTCGGGCTCGGCATCGGCACCATCTTTGGCAACCTGCTCGTCGCCTGCGCACGCCAGCCGAACCTGACGAAGATGCTGTTCAACTACGCCATTCTCGGCTTCGCCCTGACGGAGGCTATCGGTCTCTTTGCCCTCATGCTTGCCTTCCTGATGCTCTTCTCGTAGAATTCCATGTAGGCGGCTTGGGGGAGAAAAAAAAACGCAAGGACGGCAACGCGATGAGGAAGAAGAAGGAGGGAAGGATGAACTAACTGCGGTGAGCAAAATAGTAGGCGTCTTTGGTTGGTTGTGTTCGTGTCTCTGTGTGTCTGCATCGCCCTCTGCGAGTGTGGGTGGGTGTGTTTGCCACACACCCTTTTCTCTCCCTTTCCCTCTCTCTCTCTCTCTTTATTACCTTGAGGGTGTTGAGTGAACGTAACAAGGAAAAGAAGTTGCCTTGCCACGGGTGAGTCACGCTGCAGTGCGAACACGCAATCATTTTGGGCGCACTTTATAAAATGAGAGGGAATAATTTCTGGAAACACAAGTAATATGAATCTGAGATTGAGGGAGGAACCTATGAAAAAGGAAGATGGAAGCAGATGATTTAGTGATGTTTTCCGTTGTTGATAGCAAATAGGACACGTGGAGGTGAGGTGGGTGTGCGCGTGTGGCACTGCATTCATCTCCGTCTAAATGCCGATCTAGCTATCTCTCTCTTTCTCGCACTTTTTTTTCTTTTCTCTCTCTCTCTCTCTCTGCGTGTGTATGCACGCCCCACAATCTTCTGTCTCCTTCTCCCCTCGCCTGTGCGGCGTCTTTTGGCCCACTTGCCTAGGTGCAGTGGTAGGTGCCTAAACCCGCAACGGGTGTAGTTTTCCTTACTTTTAGTTTACCGCCTTCCCACCGTCTGTTTTGCAGGCGTGTGTGTGTGCGCGCGCGTTTAGGAGGCGTGCGGGAATGCCGGTGAACGAGGCACCGTGGCTGACGCGGCGGGTGGAAGTTGTCTTCATGATAGTCACGTTTCTCATCTGCCTCGCCTCAGATGGGCTGAAGTGCAAAAACGGCGGCGTGGCGCCTTGCATCGGAGGGTCGTCGCCGTGCGAGCGCGACGTGAACGCGCCGTCGTGTGACGATGTGGTGACGCCGGTGGTTTGGCGGGACGACAAGGAGCGGTGCGCCTGCGTGGCACGCGGCGACGCACGTCTGCTTCTGCACGTGGTGGAGGTGGGCCCCTCTCTCCCACCCACGCGGTCCGGAGGCAGCGGCGGCCACAGCTTGGAGCGCCTCCCCATTGCGGCTCTCGTGGCGTCTGCGTTAAAAAATAGGTCGGGCGGCGTTGCTGCGTCAAGTGCGCGAGGCGGCATCTTCGGCGCCAGCCTTTTTGCGCCGCTGCGCAGTGAAGTTGGGCTCGCGCCATCCACCACGGGCCCTTGCGCGGCAAATACAAGTAGTCTGAAGGTATCCTACAGCTTTGACACGCTGTTGATCCGGCCGTTGTCGTCGCTGCTTCGGGACACAGAGTCGGTGATTCCCTTTAAAAACGACTTTTTTGCCATTCAAAGGCATCTTCCGCGGCTACAACGCGTCTTTGAGCAACTCTTCTCGCAAAAAGCCAGGGCCGCGGCGCCAACGCGGGATGCCTGTTCAAATGTGCACCTTGTCATTCTGCTCATGGTGATGCCAGGAAGCGACGCCTCATGGGTCAATGGGAACCCCATGGACATTGCGACGACCCTGTTTGACGCCCACACGTATGTTAAGAAGACTCTGACCCGCTACCTCCGCAATAAGCCGCGGTACACTCGGTTACTAAGCAGTATCTGGTACGTTGGTGTCCCAGTTGGTTTCCCCGTGCATTGCGGCACCCCCGATTCCGCCTCTGACGCTACTGCGCCTCCCCTGCGAAGTGCCTACGATGTGGAGGGGCGTAAAAATGCAAGCGTGAGCTCCGCCGCGGTGGTCCGAAACATCACATCCGCGTTCTGTCGTGCCGAAGATGCGAACTTTGAAGTGTGCCGTGCGATGTGCCAGCATTACGAGCAGCAGGTAGCCGCGTACCAAGTGGCGAACAACGGTCTGCAGCAGATCGCGGAAGAAAAGGGCGGGCGGGTTGGGATGCGTAGTTTCTTCCTCCCGTACCGCGATCACTTTCATACAGCGCTATCCACGCGGCGGTTGTACTGGCGTGATTGTCTGCAACTCTCGCGTAAGGGGGACGTTGCAGTGGCAAAAAGCATCGCGGCTAGTCTTTTTGCCCCACACTAATGTTTTCTTGACTTCTGCTTCCACCCACTGCTTATGAGCGTGACGGTGCCGTTGATGATGACGTTGTGGTTGATTTAACTGCCCCGCAGAGTGTGGAAATTGTTCTTCTCTTGGATTCGTTCTGGTGCATCAAGCCGGGAGCGCATGCGAATACCCTTCGGCTTTATCATGTGTTTATGCATGTGTGCGTGTACGCTTTTTTGCCAGTTGCTGTTGCGGATTATTTCCGCTCCTTTATTGCCGTTCTTGTCGTTCTTGCGTGGGGCTTGACCTCATCCATGCACGCATCCGCGCCCCTTGTTTCTGAAGCGTCCGTGGTTTCCTCTCTCTGTGTGTGTGGATTTTTTTGTTTATGTTGTTGTTTTTTCCCCTTGTTTCCGGCCAGAAGCTCGTTGCGGGAGGGGCGGCGGGCTGATGAGGCGATGCGCCCTCATTGCAGCCGCGGCGACGTCGACGCATGCCACCACCACCAGCGTCTCCACGGCAGCCGCTGGTGTGTGGCGGTGGGGCGCGAGGCGTTGCTGCCGTCAACACGGTGACGGTCGTAAGTCATACCGCAGCGCGACTTCCTTCCAACTGCAGCCGCATGAGGTGAATGCGGCAAATGTCCCATCGGCGCGGGAGGTGCTGGCGATGATTCCCTCGCGAGAGGAGTTGCAGCGGCAGTTGCCGTCCGCCCGGGAGCTGGAGGCGCAGTACGTCCAGCCACCGCGGGCGGAGGCGCGGCCCGCAACGAGGCAGGATGAACCGCCGCTGTGGCCAAACAGCGACACAGTGGAGGAGATCATGGACGAGGAGCGCTACGGTAGCGGGGAGGGGAAGGATGTGGTGCCGCCGCCGTCGCCCGAGCACATTTTGCTGGCCTGGCGGGCACTGCTGTGGGGCTCGCTGTACGCCGTTGTTGGGGTTGTCGTCGTGGCGTGTGTGGCGATGTACACCTGCGGAATGCGCACCGTGGGGGAGGTGCTGGGGTACCTGCGGGGCCGGGCGGAGCGGGAGCGTCGCCGCCTCACTGCGGGGGGCGAGGAAGTGCGTTACTACGTCGTGGACCTCACCAGCCCGGCCACGCTGGTGGCGCAGGTGCGGGAGGTTTGGCACGCGCTGGAGCAGCTCGCGAAGGACGGGGAGGAGGGCGAGCACAGCGAGGCGCATGGGCGTCCAGTGTGAGCCGAGGAAAGCGCGACGGCGCAGTAGTAAAGCGATGAATAAAAAAAGAAAAGTGTTGGGTATGAAGCGAGCGGCTGCCTCCCCTCCCCTCGATGGGGAAAAAGCGAAAAACAATCAAAACAGGCGGTGCAGCATATTGTTAAACACCGATGCGCAGACCCTTGCGGGCAAGTGCGTATCCATCTGTGATGGCCTCGCACAAACACTCCTTCATCCTCTTTTTACAGTGTCTCCCTCTTTCTTTGTTTCATAAAGCGGGATATAAATATAAATATACGTATATCTATATGGCTCTTGGAAGTGTGAATAAGTCACTTTTCCTCTTTTTGGGCCGCAGTTTAGCATGTTTTACGCCTTTTATCTCGCCGTTTTTTTTTGTTCTTCTGTGTGTTTGTTTCTCTTTTCAGTTACTGGCTCCTGGCCACGAGAAAAGGATTGGCTGCGGGTACTTCGGGGAACTGCAGGATATAGTGATAATAGCTTGCGTCTTGTGCACACACGCACGGGCAAAGAGGGCGGTGGGTGCACGGCTATGATCCCTTCACTCGCGAACGTCGAGCACATTGTCCTTGTGCTGAGTGGCAAGGGCGGGGTGGGGAAATCCACCGTGGCCTGCCAACTTGCACTTGCGCTGACGCACTTGCATGGGAAACGGGTGGGTTTGTTGGACGTTGACATCTGTGGGCCGAGCGTGCCAACGATTTGCGGTGTGGCGGGCCGTGACGTTTACCGTGACGAAAGGGGCTGGCAGCCCGTTTCTCTTGTGCCAGGTGACGCAAGTGCTGCCACGGGGGACCTCAAAATCATGTCCATTGCCTTTCTCTTGCAAAGCGACAAGGACGCGGTTGTGTGGCGGGGCCCGAAGAAGGATGCCATGATCCGGCAGTTCGTGGCAGACGTGCACTGGGGCACGCTTGACTACCTCATCGTTGACACCCCGCCAGGCACTAGCGACGAGCACCTCACGCTCTGCGAAATACTTCAGCCACTCAACCCTGCCGGTGCCGTGATTGTCACAACGCCGCAGGATGTCGCAACGGATGACGTCAAGAAGGAGCTGTCCTTTTGCCACAAGATGGGGATACGCTGCCTGGGGATTGTAGAAAACATGTCTGGATTTGTCTGCCCTCACTGTGCCCACTGCACCGACATCTTTTCCCGCGGCGGTGGCAGAAAGCTTGCTGAGCTTTATGAGGTGGAGTTTCTTGGCGCCGTTCCTATTGACCCCACGCTGGCGCTTGCCGAGGACAAGGGCCAGTGCTTTCTCACAGCCGCTACCGGCAGGGAAGGTGAGACTGTGACGGCTGTGAAGAATGTCATTGGCGCCGTGTTGAAGCAGGTGGAGCGGGCATCGCTGCAAAAGTAAACGTAGGACACGGCAGCATTGCTGCGGGTGTTGGTGTAACATGTCTTCTTTCTTCTATTACCCATTGTGAGCGGTTGCGTGTGCTCTTCTGTTTGCTCGTAAGTGTGTATATATTTATGGGTGTGTCTGGATGGGCTTTTAGGGGTGATGTAGAGGCCCAATGCGGGGCAACACCAGTAACTTCGCCTTTTTCCCTTCTCCAGTGGGAGGAAGGGTTCATTCCTTCAAAGGACGAGCAACAGCCCGCGTGGGGCGCCGAGCACCAACAGCTGCAATACGAAGGGAGAGATAGAGAAGTTGCGTGGGCGGGTGTTGGTGGTCAAGGCAAGGGGAGCAGCGGCGGCAAGAGAACGAAGGTGCAAATGGCACGGCGAAATGCCTTTGAGGGTCGTCGGATGTGCCTCCGAAAGGCCCCAAAGGATCATACGCTGCTGGGGCTTTGTATCATGTACTGCGGCACAGGCTACCGCGGACTGCAGCTGCAGACCCACGCCCCCACGCACCACACTGTGGAAGGGGTCTTGATTCAGGCATTGAAAGATGTTGGTCTCGTTGAGGCGATTGAGCGGGGCCGTGTGCAGGGCGACATGCACCACTTTGCGCGCTCTTGTCGTACAGATCGTGGCGTGCATGCAGTGCGGAACATCGTCTGCCTTTTTGTTCCCACGGAACGGCTTGAGGCGTTGGGCGGGTGCGATAAACTAAAAGAGGCATTAAACACGAAACTGCCCTTAACGATACGATTGGCGCGGGTGACGCCTTTGATGGGAAATTTTATTCCACGCTTTTCTTGTAATCGGCGCGTGTATCACTATTTGATACCGGCCTATGCTCTCGTGGCACCCTGCGACCAGTGGACGAGTTTCTTTGAGAAATTCCCGCAGGCGGCGGAATCGCTGCAGCGGTGTTCGAAAGACGGGCGCTCTTCTTGGGATTTTTCCCCTGCCGAGTCGGAGCCGTGGGCGGCGGCGTTGTCTGCCGCCGTGACGCGCGGCAACGAGCTTCTCCTTCGTTTCCTGGTGGGGACCCACCGCTTTCACAGCTTTTCCGTCGATGCGTCTCAGCGTGGCGGGAGTGCGTGGAACCGCAAGGTGATTTCGCCGTGCAGCAATGAGGCCGTGCGATCCGTGTACCGCTGCGAGATTGCCCCGCGCGTCTTCCTGCTGCCGCAGGCCACCACAGGGTTGACTCGGGCGGAGTTTCAAGCCGCACTGCAGACGGTGATGGAGGATGCCTCGCTTGCGTCGTCACTGCCGCCACTGTTGGCGGCCGCCGCGGCTGCCGACGCCGCCTCCGTGAACAGTGTCCCAGCAGACGTTCCTTTGCCCTTTGTTGTCCTGCAGATTGAGGGCAACTCGTTCCTTTTCAACATGATACGAAAGATTGTTGGCACGTTAATTGCCATTTTGCGGGGCGCCAGAGAGACGCTCTTTGCGGAGGCCTTGTCACCCGACCGACGTGTTGTCTGCCCACTGGCACCCGGGCCGTACTTGTACCTGTTTCTCTCCACCTATCGCCGCTACGACACGGGTGTGCGTGGCAGCCGCTCTGCACGCTTCCGCCCGATCGCGGAGGAGTGGCGTGGCGACGTCGCTGCAGCGGCCACGGCCTTCGCCCATTCCGCGGTGGCGGCGGATGTCGTTGATCTTGACTTAAACCGCACCCCGGCCATCGGCACTCTGCTTGCCGCCCGCGACCTCGCACGGCGGGCTACACGCCCGTGCTGGGAGGCGGAGGACTGCCACCTTGCCGCCCTGAAGGAGCACCGCCCTGCCGCGGTGGAGCCGCACCCGCCTCGCTCGGAGATGACGGCGTTCCTGCGCTCCCTGCGGGTGCACAATTGGAGCATTGAGGCTGTAAAATGCCCTGCCACCGCGCCCGCAAAGAAGGGCGGCAGGGAACAAAAGCCCCCCGGCAAGGAGGAGGAGCGGACGCAGAAAACGAACAAGCGACCGAGGGAGGCGCAGGAGGCAGGCGCGGCGGCTGAGGAGGGAGGCCTGCAAAACGTCCAACAGCCGTGCGTGGAGGCGCGTGGGGACGGCAGCGGTGAGTCACCCGCGTTGCAGGCGACGCCGAATAGTGGTGAGGCCCACGTCGAGAGGAAGCCGATGCCGAACAATAGCGGCCGCGGCGATGACGGCAAGGAAGAAGAAGAAGACGACGACGACGGTTGGATTTATGTTGCCGCAACGGAGGCGGCGGCAAGGAGCAAACGCCGCGAGTACCACCAAAGGCGAAGGCAGCGTGCGCGTGCGTGGGAGCACAACGAGCCCGCCAGGGAGGGGGCGGTAAACGACTGGGACAGTGAAGGGGGAGGCAGCGAGTAGGACAAGCGCGTGATAATTCAGCTTCACCCTTCCCCTCAAAAGGAGTATAATGAGGCTGGAAAACGTTCACGGCCGAAATTTAAAATAATAAAATATGATGCTGCGTGCAGTACATGAGACTGACTTTTTATTTTTATTTTTTGGTTTATTTATTTATTTATGCTGGCGCTGCGCCCTTAATTTTTTTTTTCCTTCTCGTTTTCTCCGTCCCTCGTTCATTCTGCGTTGGCGTTGGTGGCCGTGGACGACCCTGGGCGAAGCCATGGGCGAAGACCACATCTTCAGGTCAGGTGTGTCGCACAATTACTACGACGAGGCGCTGCAGGCGCAGCGGAAGCCAATTGCTTGTCCGCAGTGTAAGCGACTCGGGCGCCTCGCCGGGTCATTGCACGAGATCTTTCGCCGCATCCCGCGGAGCCAGTGGGAGGGCCTTGTGCTGTGTCACAAGTGTGGTGAAAATGTCCTGCGCCACGAGGACATGGCGACGCATCAACGCGTGTGGTATTGCGCGTACTGTGAGATCTGTCTCTGCACCCGGTGTCAGCGGTAGCGGAGGGAGGAACGGACCGAAAAAAACGCCTACGCCCTTTAACGTTTGTCTATTATTGCTTTTTCTTGTTCTCTGTGTGTGTGCGCCTGCGTATTGTTGCGGTGCGTTTCTTCGTGTGTGCGCTGGTGGGTGTTTTTTTGCGCTGTCGATTGAGTTGGTGGTCATGTGGCTTTCCGCCACGATGACGAGCAACAAATACCGCGGAGGTATTATCGTTGTCTTTTTTTCCTCTGTCCTTCTCACCCTCTCTTTCGCTCTCTCTGTGTGTGTGTGTGTGCATAGCGGTGAAGGGGGCGACGAGGCGGCCTCTGCGTGCGGGAATGCTGCTGGCGGACTCTAGCGAAGGCGCAGTCGGTCGTGCGATGATGGACGCGGCCTCGCTGTCTTCCAAGGAACTGGGTAAAGCCCGGTCACGCTGCCGTGCATGGGTGCTGCGATTGACGAAGCACCTCTCTCCTCTCAGTGACTACGTCGCGGGGCCTGATGCTGCGGAGCCGCTGGGATTGGTTGCGTTGAATGCAGGTGTACAGGCGGGCGTTAGCCCATTTGCGCTGCGCCAGGCTCTTCTTGCACACACAGGCCTGCCCGATGACGCGCTAACCGTGTACTTTAGCTCGCTGCTCCCGTTCGCCCTAGTTTTTCCAAGGACCTCCGCAAAGGCGTTGATGCCACTTGTAATCGCCGCCTCGGAAATGGAAATTGCGGTTGAAATTGCCGCCGGAACTGTGTTCGTGATGCGTGCGCCAAACTTATGGACCGCTGGGTCCTCCCCCAGTGGTGGGCTCTCACTTCTGTACCTGCTTTGTTGCAGGGCGGATGCGGTGCTGAATGCACTGCGCCATGTTTTCCAGCCGCCCACAATAGGCGTGGATGCAACGCTGTTTCGTGAACCATCACCGCCACCGCCGGCTGAAGCGGCGTCGACGGTGCGGCGACTTCCCTGTGAACCTGCCAGCGAGGTGCCGGGCGTATACCTTGTAAGGGACTTTATTACGCAGCGGGAGCATGATGCGATCTGGGCTGAGCTAACAGGACCCGCGGGGGTGGCGCTGGAATTGGAGACGCTTGCCCGTCGCAAGGTTGCTCACTTCAACAGAAAGTTTTACTACGGGGTAAACCAACTTGGGGCGGAAGGGGAGTTGGTGAATGCAAGACCAGCCTTCTATGAGTGGATGCAGCGACGTCTACAGAACGAGGATCCAGCGTGCAAGCTCCAGGGCTATCCTGCTGTGGCTCAGGCACTCCCCTGTGATCAACTGACGGTTAACTTTTATAATTATTCGGGCGAGGACGCGGAGGCCCCAGGCATTGCACATCACGTGGATGCCCACTCAGCGTTTATGGACTGTGTGTTTATTGTCTCCCTGGGCTCCCACACGGTTTTGGAATACAGTCGACACGACTTACCACCGGAAGTTGCGGCGCCTGTTGGTATTTTTGCGGCGCCGAGAAGTCTGCTGCTTATGACGGGAGAGGCACGCTATTCTTGGACGCATGGCATCGCCGAGAAGCGGGTGGATATAGTTAGCGATCGCATTCCGCCGTTGCGGCGCGGAGACCGTGTGAGCCTTACGTGGCGCCGTGGCCGTGAGGCTCCGCACCGCCGCGTTGACTGCGTTTGTAAGGACTTGTGTGATGGTGAGTAATGGGGGAGAGCGTATTTGTGTGTGTGTGTGTGTGTGTGAGTGGCTTTACTTGGTTCCCACCGCTAGCCACATGTGATGAGCAAGTGCGTGCGTGTGGGGTAACGTGATTAGTTCTACTAACCTTCTTCCTCTTTTTTTTCTCTCTATTCATTAATCAAATACAAAATAAAAGTAAAAATGGTGAGTGCCGTCAGCGCCGTGCAGGAACGAGGAGCGGGTGAGCGTTGCAGCTGCGCCGGTGCCACGGCATCGACCGCGCCCGCCATGGCGCACGTCCCCCACATAAGTAGAGTCTCTTACTTCATGATGGCTCTCGCTTTGATCGCGGCGGTGTTCGTTGCATGGCTGCGGCGGGAGGAGCAGACGCTGGTTGGGCAAACGTTTCTAGTGAAACCAAAGTTTGTGGTGGATGGCGGCAGTTTTTATGCCACAACGACGGATGAGGGAAGGCCTGTGCTGCTGCGTCTGCGGCTCTTGCGTGTCCCCGCACTGGGTGGGCCCCACGGTCGCCAGTCCCGCGCCTATCTGAGCCAACTGTTGCTGGGCCGCCCCGCGGCGGAGGTGCTCTGCCGCGCAACGGGGGCGGATGCCGCTGGGGGCCTCATCGCGGACGTCTTCGTTTCATCCGGCGGCGCGGCGGCGGAGGCGTTGACGAGTGTGCAGGAGGAGATGGTGCGCCACGGCTGGGCCTGGGCGATGGAGGGCGGCTTCGCCCCCAACCAAAAACTGCGCGCCCTCATGGCCGAGGCGCGTGAGGCCAAACGCGGCCTCTGGGGGGACGAGAGCTCCAACGCCTTTTTCCTGCAGCGTGCGGCAAGCGGGCAGAAGCTGGACCCATCGTCGCACGCGGCTGGACCTCGCCAGCAGTACGGCAGTCAGGGGATACCTTTTTCCCGTCGGAGGCGGCCGCGGCCAAGGCGGGTGTGAACTTCACATTGGCGTCCATCGTGGCAACCCCGGCCGTCTATTCTTCTTCGTCTTTGTGGCTGCTGGATTGCCGGCTACTTTTCCCTTTCGGCGTGCGTGTGTGTGTGCGTCGCTTTCTGTTTTTGCGTCTCGGTACCCGCTGCGATATTGGCCTGCAGTGACGTTTGCCGAGGGAGTTGTGTTCTCCTCCACTGCACGTTTTTATTCCCCGCCGCTGCCTGCAGTGCGGCACGGCGGCGTCGCATTTGCATCGCCCACGACCCACAAGTGAGCGACCGTCTTTGCGGGAAGGTTTTTTTTTGTTCGTTTTCAGCCGTTTTTGCATTCGATGGTTCAGCATGTGCATGTGTATATCTATACATATATGCTTTTCTTTCCTTTCCCCCCCCCCCTCTCTGCGTCGCCGCTCGCCTCAACTTCTTTTACCGACTCTTTCTTTTCTGCATTCCTCTCCTTAATGGCACGTTGGGTTGCCCTGCAGAAAAGGGCCACTGCGTGCGCGTGCCCGCAACTGCGTCCACCCAATTCGAGGAGGAAGAAGCGCAACGTAGACAACGAACTTCTCCACACACTCACTCACACTCACTCTCACCCGAACGTTTGCCAATGCGCTTCACACGCGGGTGTTACTTGCGGGTGTCCAGAGTGCGGCGTCAAGTGGCGGCGGGGCTATCAACCACCACGAGGCTTAACCCGGCCCCCGATCATTACGTGGCATGGGGCAAAGCCATCCTAACCGAGAATTACAGACGCGTGGGGCCGGAGCACATGTTCCGCACCGCCATTCGTGCCCAGCAGCAATTGCAGGGCCTTGCCGATAAGTGGACGCCTGACGCAAAGGTGTACTGCTGCGGCTCCATGGTAACCTACGGACAGATGGAGTGGGGGAGCGATCTCGATCTTGCCTGCATGTTTGATGACCCCTATCCCTCGCACGAGGTCCAGGCAAAGCGAACCGACAAACTCTGGACGGTGATAAAGCGCTACGTCCCACACTACCTGCGAAATAACCTCCTTGGGCTCACAGAGGCGCGTACGCCTGTGGTGAAGCTCCGGTTTGCCAACGACGACAAGGTCGCCCGGGCGCGGTACACGCCACTGAGTGAGGAGGAAGATCGTAAGGCCCGCACCGCGCTGCTTGATGTGCGAAATCAATGCGTTGACGAGCGTGAGGTGGAGTACATTGCTGATAAAATGGGGCGAGAGAATGTCGAGGGGATTTGGGTGGACCGCACTACGTACGGCTGTCGCATTGCTATTCAGTGCTCCTCAAAAGAGCAGATGATTGAGGCGATTGGTTTTTTTCCTGACGGTAAAATCATGACGCGAGGCATGCGTGAGGACTACACACGTGACGTGCTTGACCCGCGGTTTGTGCCAGAGATGTTTATGTACCGCTGGGACATTTCCTTTGTGGGCTACGGCGTCAAAAACAGCTATCTGATTCGTCACTATTTACATAACGGCCCCAGTGCGACGCGGCATGCGGCGATGGCCGTGAAGGCGTGGGGCAAAGCCACAAACGTGGGCGCAGGCTCCGCCGCGATGCTCACCTCCTACGCGGTGACCATCATGTTTTTGTATTACCTGCTCGTGACGCGGCAAGTGCGGTGGGTTGAGCCGTGGTCGCTGCCGCACCCCGCGCATCTTCCCCGCTACCCCGACTTCTCGCCTCTGCCGGAGTGCGACCCGACGGAGCTTGGGCGCCTGCTTCACGGCTTCTTCATTTTCTACGCCCATCACTTTGACTACGAGAGGGAGGTCGTCAGCCTCAACCGCAACCGGCGCAGTCAACGCTCCGACGTTGGGTGGATTTTCCCGCAGAACAAGAAGGGCACGTTTAGTTACAACTTCTGCATCGAGGACCCCTACGAGGATGTGGGGACGGGTGGGCTCAACTTGGGTCGCCACCTCCACCCCGCAAAGTTTCAACTCGTAAAGCAGGAATTCCTGCGAGCAGCGCAGTGCATGGAACGCTTTTCCCCACTGACGGCGCCTGAGAAGTCTGTTCTCGGCGTTCGCCGCGCGGAGCTGCGCCACTTTGATAAGGACAGAGACAGGGATAGGTGAGAATGCTTGCGGCGGCCACTCAAAATCGGAAGTTGGCTGAGAGGGAGCGCCTTTCCCGCGAGCCCGTGTTCGCTTGGTTCCCATTCTGTTTTTCTATCGGGGTTCTTCCCTACCGCACACCCCGCAGCTCTGCGTGAGTCCTCTGCAGACCATTCTGCTCTTCATACTTCATTGCAATTGGATGGCAATCCGCTTGCAACGCCTCTCTAACTCATTTACTTGCTGTTTTCGTTGTTGCGTTGCTCACTGGGCCGCTCGCTTGCATACTTCTTTCTTTTTTCTTGTTTCCTCGCTGTGTTTTTCCTTCCTTCTGTTTGGATAAGTGTTTGCGGGGGGAGAGGGAAAGGCGCAGCTGCCTCAAGCCCTCCACGAGGTGCGGGAGTCACTTGCCTGTTGTTGTTGTTGTTCTCCTTTCAGTTCCTCCACACACCCGCGGCGTGGTTGGCGCGTCGTTGCTGCTTCTGCGCCTGCCGCGGATGACGGCGCTGGTGCGTGAGGTGCGGGAGCGCCTCTCCCGCGAGCACCTCGAAAAGGCCCGCGCCCTGAAGGCTGACACCCCGGAGCAGGCCGAGGAGGTGCTGCAGCACCTCTCGCTTTCCATCAACTACAACCCCATTTTCGTCAGCGCGCTGCTGCTCCGCGCCCAGTTGGCGGCCCGACTCGGCCGCTACGATGCGGCCGTGGCGGACTTCTCGCTGATACTACAGCTGGAGGAGCACGGCCTGGACCGCCGCCGGCTCGCGGCGACGTACGGCGCCCGCGGAACCGTGTTCCGCAAGATGAACAAGGTCATGGAGAGCATCTTAGACTTCTCCCGAGCGGTGGAGGTGGAGCCCGATAACGGGACCTGGCTGTATGAAATAGGCGTCGCCTACTCCATGCAGGGCAGCCGGGCGCTTGCGCAGCACTTTTTCACCAGCGCACTGGGGGAGAAGGTGGCGGGCCGCATGACGGAACCCGTGCGCTTCCGCACCTTCATCTCGCTGGGGACGTGCAAGCTGACCGCGGGCGACGTGAGTGGTGCGGAGGCGGTTCTGACACGAGCCCTAGAGATCCAGCAAACGGCGTCGTTGCACAACCTTCTTGGCATTGCCTGTTTTAAGCGTGAGGATTACAAGCTGGCGGCGCACAATTTTCAACGGGCCTTGGAACTTGACCCGCTCAGCAGCGAATATTACATAAATCTCGGTGTCTGCTGCTTCCAGATGGGTGCCATGGCGGATGCCCTAAAACATTTTGGGGGTGCCGTGCTTAGAGGCCCCAAGCGCGCCGTACACCACTTCTTCCGTGGGAACACAGAACTTGTGCTGCAACTGTACCCACAAGCCATCACAGACCTGAATGAGGCGATTGCGCTGGATCCCTCACGTGAGACACACCACTACGCCAAGGCATTGGCCTTTGTGGAGGAAACTCGGTTCGATGAGGCGCAACTGGAGCTGCAGAGAACTGTGGAGTTGAATCCCAGTTTTCGTGCCGCGTGGGTGCATTCCGGCCTGCTGAATTTTTTAAAGGGCGATTCATTCGCCGCCCTTGATTGCTTCACGCAGGCACTAGAACTTGGGGTTGCGGATGCGCTTGTGCACGAATATGTTGGACTGGTGTATTGCACGCTGAAGTACCACGACCTCGCGGTGGAGTCCTTCACGCGGTGTATTAGTCTGGTTCCGGAGAACCCAGTGTTTTACTTCCGTCGCGGCGTTGCCCTGATTGAATGCGGCGACTTCCACGGCGCCTATCTGGACCTGCACGAGGCGGTGCACCAGCACAAGTTTAATGACGCACAGACGTTGCACTCTCTTTCCGTTGTGTTGAGTAGGCTGGGCCGACACGCGGAGTCGCTGGAATACGCAAATAAGGCGATTGAATCAAATGGGAAAAATTGCATCTACCTGCTTCAACGGGCGGAGTGCCTGTACACCTTGGGGAACTACGCCGAGGCCCTCAACGACGCCGCGAGCGTGCTTCAGCTCGGCCACGAGAGTGCGGAAGTGTACTACTTGCGGGGGCGCTCCCACTACGCGCTGCACGCTTTCCAGGATGCGACGGAGGACCTGTTGCGGGCGGCCAAGCTGCAGCCGCCGCTGAATGAGAGTGCCGACTACTGCTTCGCCCTTGGGGAGGCCCACCTGCACACTGGGCATAATTTTAGCGGTGCCGAGGTGGCCTTTACAAAGGCCATCACCGCCCACCCGAAGCCGCCGTCGTTCTTCTTTGATGAGCGGGCGAAGGCGCGTCAACGCCTGGGCGACGCAGCGGGGGCGCTCGCCGACCTGAACCTTGTGCTGCGCGAGGACGCGAGTGACCCGACGGTGCTGCTTCGACGGTCCTTTGCAAACAAGGCGCTCCGGCAGTACGATGCCGCGGCAAGAGACTTTGAGAAGGCGAAGTCGATGGACGTCGCCAGGGAGGCGTTGATGTGTGTTCCGTATGAGAAGTTCTTCACGATTGATGAAATCTTGTGGGACGTCACTGAGTAAAATGAGGCCCACAGACACACGCACACGCGCAAACGGGAACAAAGGCGTTGGCCCTCCGACGACGGAAGAACAGGAGGAAGCAGAAGAGGATGGCAGAGCGTGGAAGTTGCCGCTTGTTGCTGTGAATGTACAATAGAAGTCATGGTGTCAGTGAATGTGCACCCCACGACTCATGAACCAAATCCAGCCTTGATGTCCTGCCGCTCCCACTTTTCTTTCTTTCTGTGTGGGTGTATTGTGACGGAGCTACTCCCTCATTCTTCCGTGCCCACTATGCTTCCCTCCATCCCTTCTTCTTTTTTGTCTGTGCGTTTTATAATCTCCCGCCACCATTATTGTACGGGATGGGTGGGTCGTTAGGGGTGGGGAAACAATCACACACACACACACCAAACGGAAGAGGAAACTTTTACATAGTCCCCTTGCAAAACGTTCTTCACAGTTTCCTACCACCCCCTTGCATTATCCGCCTCTCACTTCTTTTGCTTCCTCCTCTTCACGTGGCCGCAGGCGGTGGGATGCTGCGGTGCTGCTCGTCTCTGTTATGTGCGGCCGCGTCGACAGAGGTAACGTTTAGGCGGGCGTTGGGGGCGCAGAGCACGCTCCTTGACCTCGTTCCGGTGAAGAAACCGATGATTGAGGGGTCGCTATGCTGGTTTGTCGAGGAGAACATTGAGGTTGTGCTGGTGTCCGGTGTGAAGGGCATCTCCCCCGATGCGGTGACGGAGCACGTGAAGCGGCGGGCGGTGCATCTTCTGCAGCGGTGCGGCGGGGGAGATGCGGCGCAGGGGTGCCAAACACTCCGGCGCTGCATTGAGGAGGCGCGGGTGACGCGGAGTCTGCTCCACCGCCTCGACCTTCAGGTGCGGCTGCGCCTCTGGAGTTCGGCGACGGGGGAGGCGGGGGAGGAGGAGGAAGCGCCATTGTCCTTGCCGGTGCCGCCCACCCGAGCGGCGGCCGACGCAGGGGCGCGGGGGGGAGGCGGGGGGGCGTTGCACTGCTCAGTTTACGAGACCGACGCGTGGGAGCCGCATCGGCATCAACGGCACGTCAGGGAGGTCTCAACGTCGCCGTCGGTGCCGTCCTTGTGCGACCTCCTTCGTGAGGCTCTACGAATTGTGCGACTTGACGCGGAGGGGAAGGGCCGACGGTTTGCTGCGGCCGTACACCAGGAGGCGCACTTGCTTTTCTCCACCGCAACGTCTGCGACGGCGCCGCACGACGGTGTTCCTTCCTTGCACGAAGCGGCGTCGAAGCGAGCCGACCGCTTTTTCGCAAAGGACCCGGCACTGCGGTGCTTGCTATGTCCGACTCCCTATACTGTGGAGATGGAGTTCCTCCTTTACGGGAAGGATAGCCGAGGCAGTTCCGGCATTACTGCGGGCCGGTGGCTGCTGCACGATGAGGCGGAAAACGTAGAGAGATGCGATGTGCCGTTGGCGACGCTGAAGGACAAGGCGGGGCTCTTGCATAGAGGCAGATGCAGTGAGGTGCCACGCCACCAACCGGAGCCCATAGCAGAGTCCACAATCAGGTCTCTTGAAGAGGCGGGGGATGTTGTATGCGTGAAATCGTGCAAGGATGGAGAATTTGCTTCTGCGCTTTTGCGTTCTCTTTGCTCCCAACCGCTTCTTCAATCTCGAATTATCCACGCCTCGGCCGCCGAGATGCTCTGCGGTCGCTTCGCCCCAGTACGTGCGGGGGACTTTGTCAGAAGTTGTGGGCGGCTTGACATTGACGCCTGGTTAAGTGAACGGGGCCGGCCCCTGACGGTTCCCATGGCACCGCGTTACTTGCATCACCCCAACCCGTTGCTGTTTCTGCAGGAGTGTCTGCCGCTGGAATTGGGCACGCGGGCGGCGTTGCCTGCGTGTGTGGGGTCGTTGCACTTTGGGTATCACCTGGCCATCACAGCCAGTGGGCGTGTGTCGACCGCTGTGGGGGGCTTCATCTCCGCTGCGGCGGCGGTGTCGGCGCTCTTGCCGTGGCACCTGGCCTGCCCCCCGCGACCTGCCGTGGCGGAGGCGGTGCACCACCCGCAACACAACTCTCAACCGTCGGGTGGCTTTTTCGCAGGGACGGAGGAGGCGCGTCCGACGGGTGCACGTGGTGGGGCACCCGATGAGCACCTTGGAACATCCAGCCCGGTTTCCGTGGAAGCCATTGACGCGGAGGCCACACTCAAAGGCTTGGGCGTGGTCTCTGGGAAAGTCACGCAGGGCGTCGTGGAGTATTCCGATGCAGCAGGTCGGAGCGTTCTTCGCTTTGAGCAGATGGACACGCTGCAGGGGATTGAGCGCTTCGTGAGGTGCCTGCGGCGAAGCCACTCCGCATGCTTCACCACAATCTCCGTTTATAGCAGGAAGAGAGCCTCGTCTACTGTTGTGTGGGGGGCCTTTGCCGGAATGGCGGGGCAGAAACTGCCGCCCTACGTGCGACGAATTCGAATTCCTGTTCCGTTAGTATCCGGCGAGTTTTTTGCAATTCGCTACTGCGGTTTGCTGGAGCTGGAGCAGAGGGAGTACGCCCTGCTGAGCATTCTTGAACGCTACTCCAAGGACCCGACGCGGTGGCCGTTGAGGTGCCCAGTGCCCTGCTTTTTCAACCGATGGCGACTGACGCGAGGCATCCTCGAGGCGCTGCTACGACACGATCCGCTGTTTCGCTACACGCTTGAACGTGTCTCTGAGCAGGGACAGGACGGGAAGTTTCTCCTGCGTTTGTACTCCGGGGATGCAAAGACGCACGAGGCGCAACTGGATGAGGAACGGCTCCTACCAGAGGTGCGGCGTTGCTTGGTTCAATATGCGGCCCGCTGGGACGTCCAAGTCCCACCCATTGAGACGGTTGCTTTCTTGCTGGGGGAGGTTCGAAAGAATTTGTCGTTCACTTGCAGGGGCTTTGTTGCGGCCCTGCTGCACAACAGCGAGGTGCTGCAGCAGAGAGGCCGGGAGGCGTCGCTGGAGTTGCACATCATTGAAGGTGCGAGGATCCGCCTCTCTGTGGCCAGCTGCGCCACACAGGAGGCGGTGAAGGAGGCGCTGTCTAGGATTTTTCTCGAGAAGCAGTTCCCTGAGCTGCTCCCGGCGGTGCATCAGCTGCAGCGGGTTAATAACGTCCTTGCACGTAATCCCGGCGGGCGGGAGACGCTGTTTCGCTGCTACGACAACGCCAGTGAGGGACGCGGTTACCGCTGGGAGCTGCAGGCGCTCACCGACGACGCCGGGACGGTGACGCTGCTGGAAGCGGCGGAGGGGGCCTCACGGCTGGACGCGCTTGCGGCGCTGCTGGACAAGATCGACGGCGCGGGAGAAGCACCGCCACTGTGCCCGGCAGCAAGCGGAGCTGCGACGTCTGCCGCTCCGGCGTTGGCGCAGACGATTGAGCGCTACCAGGCGCTGCTCGCACAGAGGCGTGGGCTGCGACGGGTGATGCATGACTACGACGTGAAACGCAACCTGCTGACGGTGCGGGGACTCAGCGACCACGCGGGTGCGGCAGGGGGCAACGCCACTGTCCTTCGCGTCATCCCACTTGGGGAGGGCGTCTCCGTCGGGGATGTGCTTCACAGGTACTACCGCGGCGAGCTCCACATCGTCAACCCGCCACCGTCCAAGGCGGACGAGCAGCTGCGACTTCTCCCTCTGCCGTCGATTTACAAGTTGTGCCAGGCACACTTTACGCTGCCGCTGCCTCCGCTGGAGGACGCGCTTGTCGCGTCACAAGAGAAGGGGGGCTGGCGCGTTGGGCTGCGTCTTCCGGCGGTACTTTTTGCGCTGCAGGGACCGCAGTACGTTGAGTACGTTTACCGGGGACGTGGGAAACAAGAGGGAAAACGCGGTGTGGTCCGCAACTTTTACTTGGCGCTACACGGTGATCCGCCGGCTGCCGTGCGGCGGATTTTGTCGGAGGGCCTCAGCGCTGACGCGTTGCCCACCGACAGCTTACCCCCCTCCGCCTCGGGCGCGCCCACCACACACACGCGGAAAGTCACCGTCCTGAATCATCACCTTCTTCACAAGAGCAACGGCGGCGGCAGCAGCTGTAGGGGGAGGGCGGCTGACGCCGAGAGCGGCAGCTGCAACAAGGATGAGGATGCGACGAGGCCGGGGATGCGTGTTGGTCGGGGTGACACCTGCATGTACAGTGAAATTACGGGATTGATTTGTTCCCAGCTTCGGCCTCATGTGGGCTACGATGGTGTGGTGGAGTGTCGGCTCAGTTACATTACTGGATTCACGGGCCGTTACGTTTCCACGCCAGCCCAGCATGAAAAGTGTGTGGAGCTGTTTAATGTGCCGTTCCGTGCAACAGTGTGGCTGCCCTTGCAACTGCTTGCCGTGCTGCTTTCGTGTGCCCGCCGCCTTGTTCCTGATGATGAGTTGGAGGCGCTGCTTCTACGCAGGGCCTCTTCATGGCCCTCCCTGTTTCTTGACACGACGCAAAATGAGCGTCTCTTTTGCACCACATTTCTGCGGCGCTACTTGGGTCTGTGGACATTCGAGGAGAACGATGTGGGAGCTCAGGTGGCGGTGCCGGGCTCGTTATATCTTGTAGAGCGCACACGACGCATTCGGGCCGGTTGCTTTGAGGCGTCACTGTCGCTTCTGCAGACGCCACTGCCCCCAAGCTCGACGACATTTTCGCGAACACTTGCATCGCACAAGGCAGCGACTACACCCCGAGCGGAAACAAACATGTGGGGGGCTGTGCTGCAGCACCTTCCAGAGCTGAGCGCCGTACAGGCGGAGGACGCTGACAACGCGGTTCTTCGGGTCATCATGAGGCATGCGGTGGATACGACGCGGTAGAAGCAAAGACAATACGAGGGATGTCTGTGTGTGTGTATGTGGATCACGTGAAGTAAACTTTTTTTTTTGTTATTACTATTTTGTTTCTCGCACGTTTGATTTCCCACCCGCGCTTGGCAACTTTCTTTATTTCTTTTTGGGTGTATTGTTGTCTGTTTTGTTGTTAAGTTGTTTCTTCACATGTGTTTGGATTTGCAGTGGACCATTTTGTTATTGTTGTTGTTGTCTCTTTACTCTGCGTGTCTGTGTGGCGCTCTGGTGCGTTTTCTTGTCGACGTCAGTCAGTGTGTTGTTTTTGTTGTTTGTTTATATCTGCGTGTCTGTGTGTGTGTGTGTGTGTGTGTGTGTGTTTTCTGCCGCAGCGTACGTGTCTTGTCTCTGTTGCCTCGTTCCTTCCCATTTTGCCTCGTGCCTTCCTCTTGCCTCGCTTTGCCGTTTTTCTCGGCGCCTGGGTGCGTGCCGCAACGCATGCGCAGCGCTGGTGGTGGTGGTGGGGGGATGAGTTTGCCTGCAGATTGCGGACGATGGCGACGATATTTACGAAGGAGGAGTTGGAGGACTTGGCGTGCGTGGACCTCGACGACGACTTTCTGGAGCGGAGTGTGCGCAGTCAGACGTTTGACGCGGAGCTAAGCCGCCGGGTGGCCCAATCGGCGTGTGCGGACTTTGTCCAGACTTTCCTTGGCGACGACGCGGTGCCCTCGCTGCACCTGCATATGCAGGAGTGCGACGGCGCCCTTGCCGGGATTGAGCGCGTGCTGGAGCGCTTCATTGTCAACCTGGAGTCGATTCAGCACGACATTGGCGACGTGCGTGAGCGGCTGAAGCGGATTGGGCTCAGCCTCACCAACAGGAGGAAGGTGGAGCGGGCGGTGTGGGGTGTTGTGTCGCGCCTCATCGTGCCCCCCGAGGTAGTGCGCATTATTGTCTACTGCAACGACGAGGAGCTCGGCCCGCAGTTAAAGCTTAGCCTGCAGCAGCTGCTGATGTTCCTGCGCTACCGCAAGGAGGGAAGCTGCCGGGTTGAGTTGGGCGCCGCGACGCGGATTTCCCTTGCCGCGTGCAAGATGTACGCCGAGCAGACGGAGGTGCTTGACCGTCTCACTGTTCACGCTTGCGTGAAGACGAAGCGGTTTCTCTCCAGGAAGTTGGCGTACCTTAACGTGAAGAACACCAATGTGTACATTCAACAAGAGCATGTCTTAAAGCCCTACGCGTTTTATGTGCATTTCCTTCGCTCCGCCGCCTCCCTCCTGCGTCGCCAGCAGGGAGGTGGCGAGGCCGACCGCGAAGCGACGGAGCTTCTGCCTTTTCGTATAGCCAAGACTTTGTATGATGAGCTGCGTGGTGAGTATTGTGCGATCATGTCGCAGTTGTACCTGGACCGCTTCCGGCACTATGTCATGGCGCTGAATGCGACGGAGAAATCCACGCAAACCGTGTACGCCGGCGCCGCGCAGGTCGCGTATGTTCTGCCTTTGCTCATTGAGTCGCAGGAGGCGACACCGGCGTCCACGTTTGCATTGGGCGAACGGGCGGGCATCCTGAACCAGGTGCTCGCCCCGCCCTTGGTGCCCCTGGTGGAGCGCGCAAAGCAGCGGTTGCACTTCTACGAAGAGACATTTCGCTCGCTGAATATGCTGTTGTGCGACGCCGTGACACATGAGTTTCTCTTCACATTTACGTTCTTTGCTGGTGAGATGCCCGTCTTTGTGGACGTCTTTAAACCCACCATTCAGTTCCTTGTGGACTACGTGGCGGAGGTGCTGCTGGGCCAAAACGGTGGCTGCGTGCGACGTCTGATGCGTGATAACTTTCCACAGGCGTCCGTCAACCCGAATTGCCGCTACGACTGCTACGGTCTGCTGCTGCTTGTTCGCCTCTGTCATGACTTTCGCTCGCTGATGAAGAATGTACGGCGGCTCAGCTGCCTCGAAGGCTTCTACGACTCCCTGCTGCTACTCTTCTGGCCAGCGTTCCAGCGGACGTATGAGCGACAGATGCTTTCGCTGCGGTCGGCGGACGTCGTGAGCCTCTCGCGTGTTATTTTGCGTTCGCCGGGTGGCCACGCTTGTGGGTGGGTGAAATGTGTCCATCCACTGAGCCAACACTATGCGGGGTTTGTCCTCTCTCTCGTGACGATTAGCGCCGGCTGCGGCTTCGAGGCGACCACTGACGACGACGACGACGACGGCGGCGGCGGACCAGCGCGCTCGTTTAGCTCGGTGGATGGCGTGGGTGGGGCCGCCGCGAAGGCCCGCCCCGCGCAAGAGATGAATTTTTCCGAACTGCGGCGTCTCGCGTGGCGCGTCATTGAGGCGGAGCGTGCGTCTGACGCGGCGGACAGCGCCTCCCGCTTTGCGGTGCTGACCGGAAATCTCGCCTTTATGCGGGTGGAGATTCTGCGCCTGCTGCGGGAGATGGGGCAACACGTGGCTGCGAGTGACCCGAAGCACCCGGAGACCCATGAGGTGCGCATTCTTGCCTTCCTACTGAACAACGTTCGCGCCATCCTGCGTCCGTGGAGCGAGTTTCTTGCGGACAACAGCTCTCCCTCGCTGGAGGAGGACTATCGAGTGCTGGGAGAACTCGAGCGGGTACACAAAAGTGGCTTTGTGGACGCGCTGCTGCGGATGCACTTCCCGCTCCTCTACCAGGTCGCGCGGCAGGAGGAGGACTTCGCGGAGAAGCACCCGGAGAAGTTGTTGGAGGCCGCGGACGCCTTCACGCGGAATTGGAAGCGTGAACTTGACGACGGCTGCGGGGCGGTGCGCGCGATGATTGCGGACCCTGTGCACGAGGGGGAGCTGCTGGCGCAAGTCTGCATGGAGGTGCTGCTGTGCAACACGCGTCTGCACGGCTGCGTGTCGCGGGTGTTGATGGCGGCAGCCGCCCCTTCCCCCGCCGCTGCCTCGGACGCGGAAGGCGTTAGCCGCCCCATTCGCTCCTTTATTGTAACAAACCAGCAGATGCTGCAGCACATGCGAACACTTGCAACGATGCCGGAGGACGAGGAGGAAGTGGTGACGCGTACGACGGCCGGAGCGGGGTAGGCTTCCCGCGCTGCACGACTCCTCCTGCGTGGCCCTCTCGCCTCTGCACCGGAGCACGTTACCGCCGGAAGAGAATATACACCCACAACGAGGTGTAGGAAATAGGGAGGCGAAGTAATGTGTACCATTATTTACTATTTTTGTGTCTGGCGTGGTGGTTGTTTTCGCTGCTTGGGCGCTGTTATGTCGGATGGCTGGTGCGTGTTGGGTCCCGCATCTCTCTCTGACTCGTTTTATCTTGGGCTCCTCATTCTTCTTCCTATTCGCGCGGGCGGGTGCCGTAGGAGGCCTTACAGCCTTTGTTTCTGAGATTGTGTGTGTGCGTGCGTGCGTCTGCCTTGTTGGTTGCTAGGGGCGGGGGTGAGGCCGCGGCTGCAGGAGGCGTACGCCTTGCACTTCAACGTGTTGTGAACGGCCCTCGAGAAGTCGCAGTAGCGCCGTTGTTGCACCGCGCAAGCGGCAAAACCAACAACAACAACAAAAAAAAACAAAGAACGCTCTCATGGCTCAGTTGCAGCAGTGGCAGACGCGGTGGAAGGAGTTGCCGCAGCCGCGCAAAATTAAAGCCCTGCGGCTAGTCGTCTTCGGCTGCTACGCCCTCGCACTGCTGTTTTTGGTGATCTACGCCTTTGGGGGAACGAAGAGGCGGGTTCGCGAGCCTGCGCGAGTGGTGGTGTTTATGGAAACCACGCCGGGGGCCCTCATGGCTCTGCGCTACCTTGCGAAGCGCGCGGATGTCTCGATTGCCATGATTGTGCTTACGGTGAATGCGTGGGGCGTCAACCTCAACGCCGCCTACGACAACACCGTCGCGTTTCTCGCCATGTTAAAGGCGGAGTCGGCCTTGAGGTACGAGGTCCCGGTGTACTACGGCAGCAGTGTGGCGCAGGTGAACGCCGGATTTAACGACGCGATTATGTTCCCTGACGATGGCAGCACGGCGCCCAACACAACCGCCTGTACCTACCGCCGTGTCATTAGGCCGGGGCTTTCGTTGGCGGCCGACGCCCTCTTCGGTGCGTCTGAGTTGCTCGATGGGGTCACTCTTTCCGCCCCCGGGAGTGGCCACGGCGGTGGCGGTGGACTTAGTGGACAGTACGAGTTTTTCGGCGCCCCGCTGGCGAGCTATTTGTCAGACCACGCCGCCTCGTTTTTGGTGCTCGGACCCGCGACGGACGCGGCGGCGTTTCTGCAACAGCAGCCTCCGAAGCTCTGTGCGAAGGTGCATCATATTTTTTTCGCCGCCGGTGCTATCAAGTCTGGGGGCAACACGCGTCTGGTGTATCCACCAAACTGGCGCTCGGAGCAACACGCCTTCTTTGACCCCCTCGCGGCAAACTATATAGTGAGCGGCGCCCACGGCCGGCCGGTGGATCTGCTGCCATCGGACGCCTTTCCGCAGTGGCCGAATTCCGTGTATGCGTCCCTCATCACCTCGCGTGCCTACCCATCGCCGGCGTCGTCGTCGTCGGTGGACGCCTCTGCACAGGTGGTGGCGCGCGCGTTCATTGGCCACGCCAAGCAGTTTGGCATAGAAAAGCTGATGCCTGTTGAGGTGTTGGCGGCGCCGTACTTTGCTGATGCCATGACACGAGGCGATGCAACCGTCGCCGCGATGCCGGTGCTGGTCGCGAATGGCGTCGCTATGTCTACGGACGGCCTCATTGGCGCGCCAAGCAGCGAGCAGCCGCAGAAAAATGCCTTCAAAGTCAATGTCGTTTTGCGCGTCAAGGAGGAAACCTTCTGGCCACGCCTAGAGGCCGTGGACAGGCTGAGGGGTTAGCAGCAGAGGGGGCACTTCACCCCCGCCTTGGTTTTTTCTTTGCTTCCGCTTTTATTGTCGTGGTGCAATGAATATGTTGATGTTTTTTTTTTGCCGCTCAGGAATGACCGCCGCCTAATTTTCCCTTTTGCGCACGGTGTGCGTCCGTCGCTCGTGGAGTATATGCACGCGCTCCTCAATGGGTGCCACGCCGCGCGGATGGATTATTGGCTGCGGGTGTCTGCCCCGTGCTTTGCGTCTCCATTTTCTCGCCGTCCCGCCTTTGCGCTGCTGCTGGTTTTTCTCCACGGGCGTCTGTGCGGGTGTGTGCGTGTGCGGCAACGCACTCCAGCAACGCCAGCAGTGGCTGGCGCGGTAGAAGACAAAACCCACGGCGCTCTGTGCCTCTTGCGCATCACTCCTCTCAGCTGGAGGCCGGAGAGTCGACGAACACGCCCTCTGCCGAGTCAAGGCCATTGCTGCTTCTCGTCCCTCTGCGTGTCTGCGCGTAGTTTGTTTCCCTGGAAGTGAGGCTGCCGAAGGAGAATAACAGAAGGAAGAGAAAAACGCAAAAAAAAAAATAATAAATAAAAAACGTTTTTTGTAAACGAAGCCATATATCACTTACTTGCATCGACACATTTTACATATACACAAAAGAGACGAAAACGAAAAAGAAAAAAAAAGATAGAGTGATAGATGAACTTTAACAGTAACGACGGCAGCCACAGCCTTCAACTCATAGACATCAACCAGGGGCACTTTAAGCGCGACACAACATCCCAGTTTTCGCGAGCGCAGCCGGTGCCAAGCAACAAAGCGGGGCCACTGTCGGTACTCCCAACGGAGGGCGGCACCGAGGCTATTTTTGCCAAACTGAGTTACGACGAGTTGCGAATTTGTTTGCAAGAGGCGTTGTCGCGTGTTGAGCTTTTATGCAGCAACAGTACGGAGGAGCGTCTCCAGCTCCTTCAGAATGAGTTTTCACGTCTCATTGCCGCCTCCTCCGACGAGACCAAACGGGTGTTGAGGGTCATTCGTAGCGACACCCCATTGAGCTACCGTGTGTTGGAAGTCCTGCGCCTGCGACGCCGTGAACTCTGCACGGGATTTGAATATAGCCTGGGTGACCTTCAAGAATGGCTCTCGCTTGCAGTGCTGCTGGGTGAGCCGGACGCGTTTCAGTTTGCGAAGCAGTACATACAGTGGTTAGGCCCATGCTCGCGGAAGGAGTTGGAGGACGTTTTCTCTGTGAATGCATCCAATGTGGAATCTCTCTGGCCTGCGCTGCTTGGTGTGCGTGCGCCCGTAGATTATTTGGTTTCCTTTGACTTCCGCTACTACAGCCTCATGTTGGACGATTTGATTGCCGTTGCAGACGAGCCGCCGCAGGCGGCGTCTATTCAGTCGCTGCAAAGTGAGATGACGCTTTCGACGCGTGAGGTTCTCGCGCAGTGGCTGCTGAATTTCACCGTGGCGTTGAAGTTACGGTTGGAAACATTCTTTCTTGCGGTGGCGATGGTGGACCTTTACCTGTGCAGGGTGCCGGTACGGCGTGAGCGGCTGCACCTTTTGGGTTCTGCCGCCCTCTTGCTGGCCTCAAAGCAGGAGGAGATTTTTCCAGCGCCACTTCAGACGTTGGTGCGCCACGGCAATGGCCGTTTCACGTTGGACACGCTGGTCGTGACGGAGTGCAAACTGTTTCAACACATTGGCTTTGACGTGGTGATTCCAACGCTGAGTGCGGTGGGGATGGGACTTTTTATGCCGCAGGACCCCCCTCCGTGTGAGGCGCAGCGCAGCTGCCTTCTGTACATCCTTGCCACCCTGGCTATTCGTACCCACTATCGACAGTACAGACTCTCCTCACTTGCCGCCGCGGCCGTGTATTTGAGTCGTGTGTGCTTCAACATTCCAACTGGGCGCGCGTGCGAGGAGGTGGTGCCGCTGCTTCCCCTCATCGAGGCTGACTTGAGCCGCAACTCGGCCGTAGGAGCCGGCAGCATCCATGATATTTTTTCTAAAACCACCTACCACAATGTCAGTCGGCTGCCACTCTCCGAGATGATAAGAGCTGGGCTGCAAGAGGCCAAATAAAAGGGGCCCGTATAGAAAGAGGTGGGGGCTGGAGGGAGGAAAGGCGCTTTGGTGCAGGTGGCGGTGCCTCTGGGGAGTCGGATGTGTGCGTGAAGGGGGCAGGACGGCAACAGGGTGGCGAAAAAAAAAATGGAAGTGAGAGTGAGCCTCAGATGAGGGAGTTGTTGCCACGGACCATCTCTTTTGGCCCAGTCAGTGCATTCGCAACTTGATGTGGTGGCATGTGTCTCTCGTGTAGAGCCCGCCACGGTTTTCGTCGTCATCCCTCCGTTAAGCAAAGCGGCACACACACACACACACGCACACAGAGAGGGGGAGAGAGAGAGACATTCGCTTGCTCCCTCCTCTGATGTCTCTACCGTTTCCCACCATTTTTTTATATGTGTGTTGAGTGCGTGTCCATGTGTGTGTGTCGCTTTTGCTATTCTTTGTTTCTTCGTTTTTTTCTAAACTTAGATCCACGTAAGTGCCGTGCACGCGGCGCCAACGACTGCTGCTGCTGCTTTCCATTTCTCCCTCTACCGCTTTTGGTGAAGATGAGTGTACGTGGCCGCATGATTGTCAGCAACCGGTGTGCTTACGCTGAGTACATAGATGCTTGTTTGCATGCTTAAAAAAAAATAATACGCCCCCCTCCCCTAATTACTTATTAATTTCTCGCGCACTGGATGCCGCACCACCGCCTTCACCGAATGTTGCCTGTCCCTCGTGCTTTTTTTTGTCGGCGGTTGTTCTTCGCTTAGGAACTGTGAAGTGGCGGGGCGTGATGTGGTGCGTGTGGTTTTTTTTCTTCCTGTTTAATTCCTGAACTTGATTTGCACGTCTGCATCTACCTGCACGTCCCCTCAAGGACTGTCTCCGGTTGTGCTTCCAGGGATGTGTTGGCACGCAGAAAAGATGCGTTTGCGTGGCATGCGCCTTGCCGTTTACGTTGATGCACGCGCGCCTCTAAGCGTGAGTTTGTTAAATGCCTGCATGTTTGTAGCTGTGTGTGTGTGTATCATAAGCGTTTTGGGGCGTGGCTTCCTCCTCGTTGTTGTGCATTAGAGGCAGCAGCGGTCATCACCGCTGCCTGAGGTCGGAGAAAATACTCTCCACACGCTTTTCTTTGGCACCATCCCCATCAATCAGAAGGGAACAAAAGAGTGTCAAGCGTGGGCACGCAGGGGGTAGCCACACTCAAACTCCTCGTCCGTTTTCTTTTTTTTTGATGTTGCGTGTTTTTTATTGTTCTTCTTTTCATCCGTATGGGTGGGGTTTTGATTCTGTTCTTCCCGTCAGGCATCTGTACATGTCATTGTGTACATGCATTTTAGAGGCACTACATATGTAGAGGAAGTTGGGGGCTGTTGACTTCCCTTTCCCTTCTTCCCCGTGTGACTCTCATTCCCGGGATGGGTGTGTGTTTGTGTGTTTTTGTTTAGTGCTTATACTTCCGCTTCGTTTCCGGTTTGCCCGCGTCGAGTCTTCGCCCAAGCGACCAGGGCATCTTCTGTGTGCTTCTTCTGCGGGGAGCCCTGGTGGAGGCAAGTGAGCTAGATTGTGAGGTGCGCAGCCAACGGGGCGCGCTTGCAGCTCGCCGCGAGAGCCAAGCGCATATATACACATACATTTCTATAGCCCGACACGCGCGACTGCGCGTTGCTGCGGCTCTCGTGCCGCCGCGCCCGCTCCTCTTTGCCCCCCGCGCGGGGCGGTCGCATGCTGGGGACCGTAGTGATTGACGGCAGGGCGATTGCCGCGGCGGTGCGGGGGGAGGTAAAGGCGGAGGTGGATGCACTTTGGGCGAGGTACGGCAAACGGCCGGGGTTCGCGGCCATCATTTGCGGCGAGAGAGGGGATTCCCAGACGTACGTGCGGCTGAAGAAGGCGGCGGCGGAGGAGTGCGGGTTTGCCACCTTCGACGCCCACCTCCCTGGGGACGCGACGGAGAAGGAACTCCAAGCGGAGGTTGAGAAATTCAACAATAACGCGGACTGCCACGGCATTTTGGTGCAGCTGCCGCTTCCAGGCCATATCAATCAAAACGCCGTGCTGGAGATGATTGCTCCCGAGAAGGACGTCGATGCGCTGCTTCCCGTCAACGTGGGGCTGTTGCACTTCAAGGGGCGCGAGCCGCCCTTTTTACCGTGCACTGCCGCCGCCGTGATTGAGCTACTCAGGCAGAGTGACGTGGCTATCGCGGGGAAACGCGCGGTGGTGCTTGGGCACAGCAACATTGTGGGTGCCCCGGTTGCCGCACTACTCACGGCAAACAACGCGACTGTTACGATCGTCCACTCCGCTACGCCGCTTGCGGACCTGATAGACATCGTCAAGTCGTCTGCTATCGTTGTGGCGGCCATGGGGAGGCCGGCGTTTGTGCGCGGCGAGTGGATCAGGGAGGGCGCCGCAGTGATCGATGTGGGCACGACCCCCGTGGACGATCCCACGAGGAAGGCAGGGTTCAGGCTCGTCGGAGACGTCTGCTTTGAGGAGGCGAAGGGGCGTGCCGGCTGGATCACCCCCGTGCCTGGCGGCGTTGGCCCCATGACGATTGTCATGCTGCTGAAGAACACACTCGCAGGCTTCAGGCGGAGCCTTTTCGCCCACCTGCGGGGTGACGGACAGAAGTGACGGCGAACGTGCGGTCGGCAGGGCCCTCCCCTTTACCCCGCAAGCAAACAACCCGAAGAGAGGGGGTTGCCGTTCCTCTCTCGGAGCTTGTCGCCTTTTCGGTGAGACACTCCGGCGAGGAACGGCAACTCCGTGTGATTGGGAACCAAGTGTGCCCAGTGCTACAAGGTGTGCGCACACACGTATGAACCACAAATATATTAGCCTTTGTTTGCTTTCGTTGTTTTTGTTGTTGTTGTTGTTTTTGCCGGGGCAACTGTGGGCGATGAGGGGAAGTTGCGCGTGTGTTTGGCGGTAATTTTTGACTGCCTTGTTTTCTACGCACCTCTACATATACGTGGAGGTGCGTTGCTCTATGGAGGTGTTTGCTGTTGTTGGTGGCCGGCGAGTTGAGGGCCGGCGACGAAGGAAACAAAGCGGTAGACGGAGAGGGCGCTGCCGTGATCCTTGAACGGGCCATGGCGCACACATTAAACACACACACACACACAACAGTAAAAATAATTTGTGCCACTTTGTTTTTATTCCTTGTCCTCTGCGTTACTCAGTTTCTTCTTCTTCTTTGCTTCGTTTTGTTTTCTCTTTTTTTTGTTTGTTTATATTGCTGCTCTGGAGACGCGGCACTTCGTTGTGGCAGTAGCATTTCGCCCCTGAGCACCAGCGACGATGCCCGAGACGTCGTCGGCGTCAGCGAGGCGCGGAAATGGAGAACCAAAGGCAAGGCCCAGCACCTTTGCGCGGATGGCGACCATTCAGGAAGAAATTGTACAGATAGAACGTCGTTTGTCCTCTCTACGGGCCACAGGGAACGCGGAGGAGTCGATGGGTGAAGCAGACCCTCAGGAGGACATTGATCCCTCCGTGGCGCACATGCTTTCTGTTGAGCTCTGCCAACTGGCTGCGAACGGCGACAGTGTGGGGGTGCGCATACTACTTAACTGCGGCGCCGACACGGACTGCAGGGACTACGACGAGCAGACGCCACTGCACATTGCTAGCGCCTTGGGCCACGTACAGGTAGTTCGACTGCTGCTTGACTTTGGCGCGGATCCTGCACTCTTGGACAAGGGCGAGAAGACGCCGTTGAAGCTGGCGGAGGAAAATCACCACAACGACGTGGTGCAGCTCCTCCTGAAGCACTCTGAGGTCCACCGTCAGGAGATGGACGCCTGCAGCAAGTCGGATAGTTCTCTCCTTGATAGTCCCCTCACATACGGGCATCGGGACTTTTCCCAGGTTCCACAGCCAATGATGGGAACTCTTATTGTCATCATGGTGGGCCTTCCTTTGCGGGGCAAGACGTTTATCGCTAAGCAGATTCAGCGTTACTTTCAATGGAATGGGCTACCAAGCCTGATTTTTACCCGCTCCAGCTATGAAGGTAAGCTTGCGGAGGAAAGCGTCTCTGCATGCACCGCACTGAGTGCAGCGGAGGTGGAGTCGCGTGTTGCCGCAGCCCTCGCAAACGACATGACACAATTTATAGTTGAAACCGACGGTGTGGCGGTGTTGGACGACACAAACTGCAGTCCGTCGACTCGGCGGGCGTTGATGGGGGCAATTAAAGAAACGGGTCGCATTCGGCCGAACCGCGTCGTGTTCGTGGAGGTTGTGAACAATAATCCGGAGATCACGGAGTCAAATGTGAATCACTTGAAGGAAATGAATCCGGAGACGCCGGATACTTTCGTCGAGGACTACTACGCAAAGATTGAGCAGCTGAAAACGGTGTACAAATCCCTGAGTCCCACCGCCGACAAGGACCTCACATACATCCGCATCGAGGACCAGGTAACGTACGCGCTCAACAACATCTCTGGCTGGATGCCTTCACGACTTTTCTACATGCTGCATAACTTATGCCACGCCCCTGGCAACCTTTACCTCACGCGGGCAGGGGAATATGTGGACTTGGTTGCTGGTCGGATAGGTGGAAATTCGCGGCTGACAGAGCGTGGGCAGGCGTACAGCGAAGCACTTTTTGAATACTTTCAACGGGAGGTTCAGATGAATAAGTTTACGGTTATGAGTAGTTGTTCGATTCGCTGCACCGAAACAGTGCAGCACTTTGAAGAGCAGAGCGCGCTGCAACAGGGCGGCGCCGCGAGCGCACGCAGCGAAGCTGTGAAACTGAATTGTCGCGTGGCATACCTTCCCACCCTTGACAACGTGAATCATGGGGACTGCGACGGACAGCTTTTTTCCGACGTCCGCAGGACAATGCCAGGCACACTGCAGCAAATGCAGGCAGACCCCTACCACACCGCATGGCCCAACGGCGAGTGTGTGCACCAGCTTTACAACGCCCGTCTTGAGCCGCACATTCACGACCTTCAAGCCAGCACCGAGCCCGTTCTCGTGGTCTCGCACCTTGTGGTGCTGCAGGGCCTCTACTCCTACTTTGTTTCCGAGAATGACAGGTTTGTGGCCCCGCAAAACGCCTACCAAATCGAAATTCCCCTAGAGAGTGTCATTAAAATTCGCCGTGTGGGAGTCAACCGCGTCGCGGATGTCATCGACCTCTCGAAGGAAGTGGACGAAATTGAACGGCGCCGCACCGGGAAGGTGACGAAGCCGACGAAGCGCGGCGAGCTGGACATTTTCTCCGACCCTGCGAAAAGGGCGTGGGAGGAGGTGCGGTGAGCAGGGGCACGACGAGGCGTGCCCCGCGGCGGGTGAATAATGAAGAAGACAGCGGGAGACACCCGGCGTGCACGGGAAGCAAGAGGCAAAGTGGCACAAAATGGAAATGGGCTAGCGAAAGCGAGAAACAGCTGAGGACAAAAAAAAAAAAACGAACCAAAAGTGAAAATGAAGTAGAATAAAAAATGAAAAGGGGAAAACAACAACAACAAAAAGAAAAAAGGATAAACGCTGTACATTTCTCGGTGGCGTAGATGGAAAGCTTTATTGACAACGAACAAACTGTGAGTGCAACAAAACTTCAGAAAACATAAACCGGGAGTAGCAGTGGAAATGGGACATGTGACGCCCGAACTGAGCCTTGGCCTAAGCTCTGACGGATACAACTTTTGGCCGAATTTGGGTTGCGTCGCCGGTGACGCTGTGAACGGCTCGCGCGCTTTTTGAATTTTCTTTCCCTCTTTTGATGTTGCTTCTACTTTGTGTTTTATTTTTACTATTACTACTCTTGATGCTATTGCCACTATGATTACTTTTTTGCACCCGCATCTTGGATTGCAGTTTTTAGAGCGGGTGAGTGTGCGTGTGTGTGCACAGGGCCGCCGGATGTCGCTCAAGGCGAAGATTGACGTGTTCCCCTTCGAGGCCTACCTGCTGCAAGATCCCTCTGTTATGAGTGTCATGCAGGCGGTGGTGCGGGGCACCAGTGCGAACACCAGCGCTAATAATAGTACTAGCATGAACGACGGCAGTGGCGCCGGTGGTGGCGCGGCGAATAAACGTCGTGACACTAGCGGCAATGCTCCTCAACCCGTGGAGCGGCGAATAAAGGCGCCGCTCGAAAAACTCATGAGCCTCAAGGCGCGCTGTCGCGAGGAGCAGTGCGTGCACTCGGTGGAGGGTGTTCTTCTTGTGCACGTCCACCACCACCCCCACATCCTGCTGCTGCGCCACAGCAACACAAAGTCGTCAACGCAGTCACGCGTGTTGCCGGCGTCGAACACAAACAACTTGGCGGTGTTTTGCTTGCCTGGTGGTCGCTGCAGGAAAGGTGAACCAGAGGAGGTGTGCCTGCTGCGGAAACTTGCTCGGGACTTGCTGAATGAGAAGGATAGTTCGACGGTGTCACGGGCAGCGGAGAACGAGCAGTCGGAGACGGTGGTTGAGGTTGGAGCCCCGCACAATGTGGTCGCCTCCGCGTCCTCCTTTCGCGTCGGCGAAGCACTTGCTCGGTGGTACAGGCCGCACTTTGACCCCTTCATGTACCCGTACGTCCCGGCGCATGTGGCAGAGAGCGATGTAAAAGAGGTGCGAACCGTGTTTCTCGTGCACCTTCCACCGCAGATGCTGCTAACGGTGGCGCAGCGTGACGTGGAGCTGGTTGCCGCGCCTCTGTTTGACCTGTACGAAAACGCCGCGAAGTATGGCCCGCTCATCGCCTCCATCCCAACACTTTTGTCGCGTGTAAACATCAATTACTGCAAGTAGACGCAAGCGGAGAAGCCAGGTGAGGTGGGGGAAAAGAAATGAGTCGCTGAACGAAATAATTTTGTTTGGGGGTGGCGTTGGCGTCGTTGCCGCTCTGCTGTGCCCATACCTGGCGGGTGCGGGGTTTTTATTATGTCGTGATCACATATTCCTTTTCGTTTTGTCGCAGCCTGACACTTGCGGCGCGCGCCTTTTTCTTCTTGCCGCTGCTGGTGTTGTTAATGATGCCTTCCGCTGCTGCTCCTCACTGTTTTGCACGTGGGTGTGGTTGCCGTTGCTCAACGGTGACTGTCGTGCGTGTTTGCGCCTAACTGCTTCCCCTGTCGTGCCCGCAGAGGACGCGGAGAGGGGCTGCCCCGCACGCGGTCAAGAAATTAGAAGCACAACCGAGCCAAAGTCGTCGTGAGGAACAAGCACACGCGCAAAGGAAGGGAAGTAGTCGTAGCATCATGGGGCAGCAGCCGTCTTTGAATTTTGCACTGCGCCAGCACATTTATAACCGGGACAACGAAGGCCTTACGGAGTTTCTCCGTTCCCACGAAGGAGAGCTCAGTGAGGCTTGCATGGATGAAGCCATCTACGTTGAGCTTATTGGGCGGCAGTGGGACTCTGACACAATTCACCGTTTTGCCAAGTTCGCCAACGACAAGCAGCTGGCGGTGCTTATAGCCACCGCCATACTTCAGAGTCATGTGGTGCCGCTTGCCCCTCTCTTCGGGCTGATGCGGGATCGCGAGCGGACCATTGAGCAGTGTCATCTCAAACACCTCTTTTTGATTGCCTGCGAGCGGGAGAACGTGGACGCCGTGCGTGCCTTCATCGCCAATAGATGCTTTGACCCGTCGGATCGACGTCCTGTTCGGGCTGTGTTGCGTGCACAACTGAGTAAGTCGGTTGTGAATGAGGAGCTGGTGAAACTGGTTCTGGCGGCACATCCGCTGCAGACAGACAACGTTGAATACATCCGCAATAATTGCCTTGCTGCCGCCAAAAGTGACCAAGTTCGCAAGGCTGTGGATGATTTCCTATTCAACTACATACCTTGAGGCAGATATGAGAGGTGCACTACGGATATTTGTTCTGGTTTAACGCAAATGCAGCTCTAACATTGTTTTTTTTTGCACTATCTTTCCTCCTTTTCCTCTCTCTCTTTCTTTGTGTATGCATCCCATGTGCTGTTTTTTTTGTTTTAATACGGGGCCACAACTGCTCAGTAAGGAAGGAACGTATTTGGTCCACATTTTGTTTTGTTTTGTGGTTGTTGTTTTTGGTGGGGGACGATCTGCAGGTGTGGGATTTGCGTGCATTCGTTACCCCTCCTCTCTCTCTCTCTCTCTCTTTGTGTGTGTGTGCTTGTGCGTAGGTGCAAAGTCGAGCAGGGGGCAGCGAGGGATGCGGCGACGGTGTCTGGCGAGCGTCCGGCGCGGCAGTGGGATGATGTTTCTCGGCGCATCCGCATCGCCGAACAGCGCTGGTAGCGCCGCGGCAGCGGCCGCACGTGGGACGGTGAAGAAGTCGCACTTTGCGTTGCCGTTGAGTAGGCAAGTCCGTCACGGTCTCAGCACAGACTGGCGCGAACAGGTGCAGCGTTCGGGTGGCGCCCTCAACGACATCTCCCCCGCGCTGCCTGACAGCAACCGCACCGGCGAGCAGCGGCAGCGAGTTGCGGGCTGGCAGCCTGTAGTGAAGCTCCTCGGTGACCAGCGACTTCGGGTGGCAATTGTTGGCCGCATGAATAGCGGCAAGTCGTCTCTGTTTAATTTGCTGAGCGAGGACCCGACGATGCCGAAGCGCAAGAACATTGTTCGCGACTTTGACGGCATCACGCGGGACTCGGTGGAGGGCCACGCCCAGTTGGAGGGGATGCATTTCACCGTCATCGACACCCCTGGCATGGTGAACGGCAGGCTAGTGGAGGAGGCCTTTCGCACCGTGGAGACCGCCGACGTCGCCATTTTCGTCACCGCGGTGGATGAGGATCTGCACCCGGCCGAGTTTGACCTCATTCAGTATCTGCACCTCAAGCTCATGCCAACCTTCGTGCTGGTGAACAAGATGGACCTCGTCGCGTTGGAGGAGGAGGACCGCGTCCTCGAGCGCTACAATGAACTTGGGTTGGGCAATGCCATTCCGTTCTCTGCACGGCGCAAATCGGGTATGGAGATGCTTGCGGCTGTGCTGGAGCCCTTGTACCACATCCACGCGATGCAGAAGGTGGAGAATGACTGGGACATTGAGGATCTCGCCATGCAGGGAGACGAGTCTGCCATGGAGGAGATACGTGACCGCAACTGCGCAGATCGCTTTATTCGTATTGCGCTGGTGGGGAGAACAAATAGCGGCAAGTCGAGTCTAATCAACCGTTTAGTGGGCTTTGAGCGTAATCGTGCCGTAGATGAGAAGAATTCCACCCGTGACCCAGTGGAGCTGCCATGCATCTACAAGGGACGTAAGGTGAAGCTTATTGACACTGCTGGTCTGACCCGGCACCGGTTCCGTGCCGACCGCGAGTTCCTTGGCCGCATTCACGAGCTCGCAGTTAATGAGATTCGCTACGCGCATGTGGTGATTGTCGTGTTTGACGCCACGGAGGGGCACCCTAACAAGTACGACATGGCTGTCTTGCACTCCGTCGCCGCAGAGGGGCGACCGTTTTTGCTCTGTGCCAATAAGTGGGATGCCGTGCTGGATCAGAGCGCGACGGCGGAGGCGATTGACTTTAAAATCAAGCGACAGGTACGGGAGGTAAAGTACAGCAACGCCGTCGTTGTCTCCGCCCACACAGGGCTAAATCTTGCCTTACTCATGGACCAGGCATTGTCCCTTTATGACACGTGGAACAAGCGGGTGCGGCGTGCGGAGCTGACACGTCTCTGGCGCAAGATGGAGAAGTCTGTGATTATTCCCTACCACGTCGCCCGTGTGGGGCGCATCACACAGGTAAATACGCGTCCGCCGACGTTTCTGCTTCAGCTCCAGACAAAGAACGATGAAAACACGCTGCCAAAGGCGCTCCAAGAAATGATGAAAAACACGCTTGTGGAGGAATTCGACTTTCGCGGCGTTCCCGTCCGGCTTATTCAAGACGTGAAGGACTCCAACCCCGACTACATTTAGTGCAACACGGCCATGCAGTCTCTCTCTGTCTGTGTGTCTGTGTGTCTGTGTGTGTGGCTGTGGAAGGACGCGGGTGGATACGCATAGCAGTGAAATTACCACGACTTTTTTTTATTTTTAGTGGTCGTCTAATTGCGGCGGTTTTCCGTACTGACAAAATCCGACTTCTCCCTCTCTGTTATTATTTTTTTTCTGCTTCTTCTTCTGTCCTTGTCGTCGTGGACAACAGTGCGGGGCTTCAGTTCAGTTTGGAGGAAACACCTGCGAGTGTGTTGTTCGCTTCTGCCTACTTTTCTCCCCTCTCGTGGCAGCGTCCGCTCCAGAGTGCGGGGGGCGACAGAAGGAAGGGGAGGGCGGGGGAGGGGGAAGGAAACAACGAAAGAAATAAAAATAATAAAATAATAAGACGCCGGGACGCGCAGCAATGGGGAAACGGCCGCGCTCACGCTCTTCGTCGAGCGCGGGGGACGCAAGCACCAGCAACAACAACAATCTGAACGATGAGGCGCTTGACGCCTCCTCGGCCGAGGGTAAGACGCCGTGTGGATCAACGCAGCCCTTGGGCTTATTCCTCTGGAGTGAGGTGAGCATGGTGCTGTACGCTGGCATGCTAAAACAGCTGCATTATACCTGCGGTCGACTTGCAATTGAGCGGTCGCGAGATGCGCGCTGGGGCCTCATCGACGGCTTGAGACGGCGTCTTGCGGCGTTTTGGGAGGCTGAGACAACCGCGCTGGATGCGACAGAGCAGGAGCGTCTCGGTGGGGTCTTTTATTCGTACGTCAATGCAATGTTAGAGCGGCTCGCCTCATTGGCCGCCACAGACGCGCAAGGCGGTGATCTTTGTCACGCTTTCCTTCAGGCGCTTGACGTGTTTGGCTTCCCGGAAGAGGAGAACACGGAGGAGGCGCTGCTAGTCGCCGCCATGCGGAAAAGCGCCGACCCGCACGCGTACTCGTACCACGCGCGGGCATCACATAGACTTGGCGTTCTGCCGCGTTACGACGGAGATCGGAGAGCGGAGGGGCAGCACCGCCTGCCGCGGTTGGGCTGTGTTGTGCAGTTGCCCTCGCCTCACCCCCACTCAGAGGTCAACACGGAGATTCAGTTGATTGAGCCAAAGAAGCGTCGTCCCCCACTCGACGAGAATCGCATCTTCTTGCACCCCAAAAAAGCGACCTCTTCTGGAATGGAAGACATCCTCGTGGATGAGGAGCTGCGCTACCGCGCTCTCGTGGTGCTTGGGCGTCACCTTGACACCTTTGGTTCTCTGCAACATTTGTCACCCTTCGTCCGGTTTTTGGTGTGGGACACGCTTGGGCGAGACGACGAGGTGTTTGAGCGGCTAACCGCACCTCCCACGTGTAGTGACGAGCTGCTGGCGTGGCAGCAGGATCAGCTAGAGTCACTGCGTCGTCTTGTGGCAGAGAAGCGTGCAGTTTTCGACGCCACCCGTGCCGCGGCTAGGGAGACGGCGTTGCGCATTGGATGGCGCGCTGTAAGCGCCCACTGGCGCGACCAGGTGCTGCGCGTGGTGGAGGTGGGCGAGGATGCGGACTGGTTTCTTCTTCGTGACACCGCGAAAACTGGCTCAAAGGCGATTTTCCCCAACTACGCCCTCTCCCCAGTTATCAAAGACATCACCCTCAAGGCGCTGCGACGGGTGCGTGATGGTCATGTGGATTGTGGCGTGGAAGATGCCGTGGAGTGCTACGAGGTGATTACAGATGTGTTGTTCCCGCTGCTTGAGGGGGGTGCGCCCTGCTTGCCTGGGTTCGACGCCAACCATGGCGCCGCCAGTAACGGTGAAAACTGCGGTGCTGGTGAGCCACAGTCACAGCAAGCGGGGGAGGCGGGGGCGGAGGCGGAGGTGGAAGAGCTGCGGCGGCGTGTGTCGGCCCTCATGGCGGAGACAGCGGGGTCTGCGTGTGGCGACGCCGAGGTTGCGCGTGCTGTGCGATGGTGCTTTGACTGTGAATCGTTGCTTCCGCGCAGCGGATCGACGTGCGCCTTTGTGAGTGACATGTTCGTCTGGCCGTTGCAGTGTTTGGCGTCCCTGCTGGAGCTCACGGCGGTGGCGCGCCACTCGGCGGACGGAATTAAAAAGTTTGCCGCCGCCTTCCTCCCGTCCAACTGGGGCGATCAGGAGTCCTTGCTGGAGTTTCTCCTGCGACGCGAGCCGACGAATATCCCGCTTGCGTCTCTTGTTGGCTTTCCGCGTCTGGTCCGCGACGTGTTTGTTTCGGCACAGTGGCTGCGGAATGACAAATACTTTGGCGTTGTGGTGGAGTGCCGTCGACAGGCCTGCGCCCTGCCACCCGGCGCGGCGGCGAACAACTTCTTGCAGTGGCGAGCCCTCGCAACGCTGCTGAGTCGCCTTGACTACGCCGAGGACGTCTTCGCGGTCACCGTGCATGAGATGCCGCCAGACGCGGCGGAGCAGGGAAAGCTGTGGGCCGTCGCGGAGCTGGAGTGCACGCCCAAGTCGTGGATTGAAGGTCTCACGCTGATGTTGACTGCGGCCGCAGCCCCCGACGAACCCTCCACCTGAGGCCGAGACACACACATGCATGCGCCTACATCTGAAAGAACCCCCCCCCCAAAAAAAAAAAAACCCAACACGCACACACGCAGGGGAAGCGCGTGCTGTTTTTCCTGATATTTAGTGATTGCTCCTCCCACCTCCCTCCTCCCTCCTTTTTTTTTCCCCCACCCTCTTCTGTGCTGCATTTCTCCGCAGCGGGCGCGGCAAAACTCTTTCTATGCCTTATGTTTTTTTTCGTTATTCTGCTTTTTTTTTCAATGACTTATGTTGTTTCTTCCTCCCTTGGGGGCATGCGTCCGCGTGCACACGCACATTTGTTCCAGCTACGCCTATGGTGTCGCTTACGCGGCTTGAGGAAGTGGCGAGGGAGGCGGAGACGCTGCGGCGGCTTCTGCGCAGTGCCTTCCTCGAGGATGCCCCGCGGATTGAGGCAACCATCTTTCAACAGTTGCAGAAGCTGCTTGGGCGCTGGCACTCTTCGTCGTCGTCTACTACGCCTGCTGCTCTTCAATCGGATGATGATGTGCATCTTCTCATTGAGCAATACTATCTGCAGGAAGCATTTGCTGCGATGCTGTTTCTTGCAGATGAGTCCTTTGCCCAGCAGAGCCGTACGGTGCCCGTTGTAGCTCCCCCGCGGCTTGCGGCGGTCAACATTTCAAAATCTGCGTTTTACGTGGATGTGCACATGCGGCGCTACTGCACCGAGCTGTTGCTGTATTTCTGCTTTTCCCGCGTGTGCCAAACGCACCGCGTTGTGCAGGCGCTTTATCCTCTGCTTCTGCGCGGCAACCAGGCGTTGTTGGGCGGCGCGTCGCAGAATCACGTGGGCGAGGGCCTCTTTAGCGCAACTCGCTTTCTGCAAAAGAAGAAGTTTCTCTCCAGCCTCCTCAACGGTGTCATGGCAACACTTCCTGACGGAGTCACTGCCGTGGTTCGGGTCCTGCTGCTCGACGACCGCGTGGAGTCGGGCATGACGATGGATGCCGCCAAGCAGATGGCGTCCCTCTTCTACACCCCGCTGCGCCACGCGTGGCTTCTAAAGGAAGGCGGCGTGACGTACACGGAGTGCCTAACCTTAACGGAGCAGGTCCCGCTGCTCTCCGCGCAGCTGGTGAATCTTCTGGCGTCTGTGACGGAGAAGTCGGTGACTCCCGAGGTGGAGCGGGTGCCGCATTGTTTGCCCCACTTCCTGCAGCAGCAGCAGTCGCTCCGCGAAGGACGGCTCCTAAAGCGAGAAACAGTTGAGGAAAGGCTGCAGCTGGGCCTTACCAGCATCCTCAACGCCACACTGCGCCTGCCGCCTCGAGGCGAAGAGGACAAGTCGGCGTTTGCCCGCAGCTACAAGTGCTTCTGTCTTTACAACAGGCACCTCCTCACGCCCGCATTTCGGGCACTTACTTTGCGCGGCGCCGATGCGGGCGGGGAGTGCGACGAGGTCCTACTGGCGTTGCGCCGTCTCTCTGTAGTGGCGCGGGGTTCCACGCTTGGCCCGTCGCCACGGGCGCTGCTGCTCACCCTGGAGCCACTCTCACCTGGCCTACTGGAGTTGCTTGCGCTCGACGACGCCCTCCCCGCCGCGCACCGTGCTCTGCTTCAAAGCCTGTTAGCGGCGTTATGGGAGCTACCAGCGCATTTTGAGGCGCTGGCGCACATCTTTGTGCGAGGTGCACTCGCGCCTGTTCGGGGGTCTTACTCGGTTGATCGAGTCCAGGCGAAGGTGTGTGTGGAGCTTCGACGTTCCTCCCCAACCGCTGTGCGCATACGCGGGTTGCGGCGTCTCGTACTACATTCGGGCGCTCCAACGGACGCCGTGTGCAAGCTTTTGATGGCAGCGGCGGCAATGTGCCAGCAGTGCACCGCAATGTCAAGTGTCGCTCCTGTAGAAGAGGGAAAGAGAAGTTGTAAATCGGTGGCATTTTTGTACACTGAGGATGAACTGGCGGGGAACTCCGACTGCGATAACGAGGAGATTATGCTTGGGCGGATGATTGAAGACATGTGTCTGCAGCTAGGCGCGGATGAACTGTTTGGCACACGAGTCACCCTGGATCGCGTATGTGAAGTCCTCTTCACGGTGGCGACAATATCCACCGCATGCTGGCGGTGGACAATGCTGTTGATTCCCCGCATTCTCGCCGTGGATGTCATTCACGCCGTCTTCGCAGAGTATCCAACCACAGTGGAGCGGCAGAAGGCGGCAAACGCGCTACTGGTGCAGGTGCAGCGACTCTCAGCTGTGGTAAATGCCTTGCAGGATGCCGTTGTGGAATCCGAGGCTGCAACGACGCTAGAGCGCTGTCTTGCTGTTGTACGGCAGTACGACTCCGATGCAGCGGTGGACGACGCCACATTTGCCGAGTGTCGCACTACTTTGCGGAGGATTGAGGAGAGTCTTGACATGAGTTCCACTGCGTCGCTTGTGGTTCATCTTCTAACACTCTCACGCGCCGCGGCGGAGACGGCCTCTCGCTTCTCGCGAAAACCCCTGGCTAGCGCCAGCGGGAATGCCGCTGATACTCGTCGCTTGGGTGACGCTGGGGCGGGCGGGGGTGTTGTGCAATCCGCTATGCGGCTGCTCGTTCGCGTGCTCGTTGAGGTGGATGATGCATGCGCTGCTGTGGCTGCGTGCACAACACTGGTTTGGTGGTCGCTTGCACGGTTGGACTCTGTGGATTCGTCCTTTGTGTCGCGCCTTGTGGTGAGTCTGCTTGGCGTGGACGAGGGCAGCTCGGTGGCACTGCGCGCTATCCTTCCAGGCGTGACTCACGCCGTGACGCCGCCGCGCATTAGCCGGATGAAGGTGCGCTTGCTTGATGTCCTTCTCGGCCTCTGCGACTACGACGAGGAGGGGCGTACACTGCGCAATATCGATGACTACTGCAAGTTGGAGGCAAAATGCACTCTGTACGATATTCTTGCTGAGTTGTGTGGGCCCCAGCACAGCCCCATTGTGCAGGTTGCCGCCCTGCATCTCATTGGCCACTACACGACTGCCACATATCCCCGTGTTTCACTTGCCGCAGCTTGTACACTCTGCGTGGATGTTTTTCGCCACACACCGCACGAGATGGCAAAGGCTGCGTCTGCCGCGATGCTGTCGCACGTCGCAGGGTCTCTTGAAGCGATGGGTACTTTGGCAGCCCTCAGCGACGTTGATGTTGAACTGCTGCACAAAATGGCGGAGGCCCTGTGCAGTTATTGCGGTGCCGTAGACGGCAGCGATGATCACGAGGCTGTGATTCACCACCACGGACGCCGCATCAGGGAACTGCTGCAGCATTCGTTTCACGTGCTGCGGGAATCCTGAGCGTCATCCGTGCGCTCGCCGTGCAGTCGGGGACGCCGCGGATGGAAGTGGGGGTGGGGTTTGAAATGCCGGTTTTGTTTTGTTAGTGTTTTATTATTATTTTCGTTATTACGCCTTGCTGTTGTTTTTCATTTTCTCCTGCTGGCGAACATGTGCGCTCGGGTGGCCTGCGGTCACGAAAAAGGCACCGACACTGCATCCACACGGAGAAGAGCCGGCGAAGGGGACGAGGCTGCTTGTGCAGGCAAAACACGTAAAAAAGTAAGTGCACTCCATGTCTTTTGCGCAGCGGCTCGCAGGAGCACGCCGTCGGCGATGCACGCGTGAGGGAGTGAGCGAGTGAGAGGGGGGAGGAGTGATATGGAAGCGACAGCACGCCAAGCAGGAGAGAAGAGGAACGATTCCTCATTTTTTTTTGTTGTTGTTGCTCCTTTGCCTTTTACTTTTACTTTTCTTTTTATTTTCCTCTCCCTCTCCTTCTTTCTTCCCCACACACTTCTCCGCTCGCATGCAGTGGTCTCGTCTCCGGCAGAGTGTGTGGGGGGCGGGGCTTTGTGGGACTAGGAAAGGGAAAGCACGGCGGAGGGGTGAAGACTAGAAGCTGCACGCATCTCTGCGCCATAGAAGTTGCTCTTTTGCTTAAGCCCGTGGAGGAGCTGCTACTTCAAGGACCGTAAGAGAACGAAAGAAGAAAAATAAAAAGGCGTCCGAGAGTATTTCTAAGGAGGTCATGAGCACCCCACTGCCAGTGCAGTCGCTCCCGCTGAAGGATCGCTGGTTTGTCACATATTTTCCGTTCGTCCGGCAAAAAAGAAGGGGAAGGACTTTGATGAGCAGCAAAGGCCAAAGGAACTGGACTGGGTGACGACGGCGGAGGAAGTGTACGCCACCATAAATTCTTTCCCTTCCCTGGTGTTGCTGCCGCCCGACGACAACTTGGTCTTTGCCCGCAACAAGGTGGAGCCCTACTTTGAGAACTTTCCTGACGGCGATCGTGTCTCCGTGTTTACGCGGACGAAGGTGCAGAGTGAGCAGGCCGTGGTGCTGGTACTTGCAGCGGTGTTGGGGGAACACCTGCAAACTGTCGCTGGCCCTGAGTGCGTCGCCGATGTTGTGCGCATTGCACATAAGCCTGGCAATGTGTACCCGGAGTCGCTGCGCGTAGAACTGTGGCTGCACAAGAGCAACGTGTGCGACAAGGTGGTGCAGTACTTCGTCGACCTGTTCAAGACGTACCCTGGCATCCGAGTCACGTGCCGCTCCATCAGCACTGATGTCGCCGCCGATTGATCTTCCGGCCTCCTCATTCCGTTTCCTTCTATTTTTTTTTGTTTCTCCCTCTCTCTCCGCGTGTGCGTGTGTGTGTGCCTGTGGGTCTGTCTGTGGCGAGTGAATGAGGGGGTAGGAGACCGCACGGGCAGGTTGTGGAGAGGGAGCAGCGAAGGTGAGCGGAAGCGCACGAGGACATGCGCGTGAGAGGACAAGGGCGGAGCAGGGGAAGGCGAGGGTGCGGGGCGGGAACTTTGGGCGGTGGGAGCGAACAACAGGGCGGGCGTGAGGGAGAGTTAGTTGTGTGTTTGTGCGCGTGTGCGTCTCTGGAGGAGCGTCGCTATTCGTGCTTATCTGTTGGTTTGTGTCCTTGCTGCAAACGAGTGCCATTGCCTCTGGAGCAGGGGAAGTTAGCAAACAAGAAGGGGAGAGGAGAGAGAAGACAAAAAAAAAAAAAGAAAAAAAACAACAACAAAGAACGAAAACCAAACAAAACAAAAACGGTGATGCCCCTTCATCACTGCCCTATTCGATAATGCTTCGACTTTTACTGTAACTGTCCGCTGCCACGAGGCGGGCCTCCGCTTCCCTTGCAGGTGGAACGCAAATGCGGCAAGGTGCGAGAAGGCGGCGTGGGGGTGATGTGCACGGCTGTACTGATGTTATCCTTTGCACCTGTTTCTTTCCTTTTTTTTTCCTTTGGGTTTGTTCTGGCGCTTGCCACTCCCACGCTCGTTTCGCAATTGGGGGCGGCAGTTCCCCTTGCCGCGTGTCCAGCGACGCGGCGGGGGATGCGGGCGGGAGAGCACCTTCCCGTGACGGAGCGCTCCTTCGACGTTCTTATCCGTCAGTACGAGATTGAGGCGGCGGCGGCTCGTGCGGACGCCGCCGCGAGAGGAGAAAATGGCACCGAAAGTGGCGGGGAGTTGGCGCTGCTGGCACAGCACATTGAGGAGCTCGCCACGGACGCAAGGCGGCTGCGGCGCAAACTGCAGGCCTGCGGCAGCGGTGCAGCGGCGGCACCGAATTGGTCAGCGGAAGATGTGGCTAACCTGCGTCTATTGGGGTTTGATGTGAGCGGCATCAATGCGGCCGCGGCGGAACAGAGCTGCGTGAGTGCACGCAGTACCCCCACGGGGCAGCACCCCCAGATTCCCAACCTGGACAAGTTGCTCGCGATGGAAAAGAAAATGCAGGAGCTGCAGACAAAAGTAGACGATTTGACTGCCGTGAATGCGGCACTGCGTCAGATGCTGCCGAGGCAGCATCGCACGGGAGGTCAGTCTCAAGGGGAAGAGCATGACGTTTCCGATGCATTAGCGGCCCTTACGGAGGGATTTAGAGCCCTGAAGGACGCATACACGAGGAACCGTAATGGACATTGCATATCGCAGGAGATGCAGGAGGAGCCGACCTTGGCATCTCATGACATTCACCCCGAGAGCCATAGAAAAGGCAACACGGCTGCGGATTTGCCAGAGTACTCATCTCAAAGTGTTGAGGATGCCCTTTGCACCCTGCGCGCCGTGAGCGCCTGTCGGCGTGTGCGATACTGTGCTACGGGAGATGCCTCTGGCAAGCTCGATGCTGTTGACGCAGCTGTGGTTCAACTGCTCAATGATATTGGTTTTCCGTTTCCTGTGCCAATCCAGCGGCTTGGCGCGAGGGGAGACTACTTTATTGACCGCCGCGTAGAGATCAAACTTGTGGGGCGGCAGCTGGTGGTACGGCCGTGGCTCGCCCCAGGCGCTCATCCGGGGGCGTGCGCCGACGGCACGCGCCGGCCACGCTACGAGCACCTGGCGAAGTATCTTATCCACCTCTACTCGCCCGCCCTGGATTTGGAGAGAGTCGCAGCCGGTGAAAGAAGCGATGTGGGGGAGGAAGACGCCGCCGGAGGAGATCGCAGGAAGGACGTTGTTGCGACGCTTAAGCGACAGCAGCAGGAGCTGCAGCTGGCGCTGGAGAAGCGGCATGCGCAGCTGTATGCGTATCAGAGACGGCTGGAGGCGGGGCTTTCTCCGTCACCGAATGCGAGCCCATTGAGAGACGCCGTATCGGACTCTTCTGCGGAGGCGTTAGCTGAACCGGGAGCTGAAATGAACCAGGAAGCCAGCTCCTACCCACAGCCCCGTCCGTCTGCGGGAGCGAATGGGCGAGTTGCCCACATACTTCGTTTAATGGAGGAGCACGGACGTGTTCCTGACCTTTCGCGGCTTTCCGAGTTAGAGCTGCAAAGTCTTAAACATGTGACCTTGCAGCGGCAGATGCAGCCACGCAAATAGGGCTCCTGGTCTCACCTCTGCTTCTTTGTCGCATGACTCAGCATGAAATGCTCGTGCATGCAGGTGGCTGTTTATTATTACCATTCTTGCTTTCCCCCGCGTTATTGCAGCAGCCGTGGGAACGTGTTGGGGTTTCTCTTTCTCTATCATTTCCGACGAAGTTCTCGCCGTATTTTTGAGGATCGTGTCTCTTTTCCTTTTGCTTTTGATCTCCACCAGTTATCAAGGGTCTAGCAGCCTAGCGCCATGCCGTTTCCAAACGCCATCGTGACATGGCAGTCTCCAAGGGAGCTGTCTTCTGTGGTGGAGGTTCTTCAGAGCTGTCCGAATCTTTTGGATTGCCTTTGCGAGACATCTTTCACGGAAGCGATGCGGCGGCCGCCAAGTCCGCACCGGAGGCTGTTTATTCTCTTTCCAGGTAATCCTGGCGTAGTACAGTTTTATGAGCGTTTCGTGGAACTCATGTCTGTACGTCGTTTGGACGTGCTTGTGATGGGGTTTGCCGGGCACAGTGTCGTTGACCAAAACAACGGTAGGGCCTTTGATCTTCAGGACCAGGTGGAGACAGCCGACCACTTTTTGCATGCTGTTTTTACCCCCTACACGCTGAAGTGGTATGGAAAAAATATTTACGTTGGAGGTCACAGTATTGGGGCGTTTCTCGCGTTGCAGATGCTAACACGTTTTTCATGTATTAAACGTTGCTTCTCGCTTTGCGGGGTACTTTCAAATATACAGAATTCACCGAATGGGAAACGTTTCTTTTTTCTTAGTAGCAACATATTGCTTTACACCCTCTTTACCTACTGGTTGGCATTACTTCTCCTGATGCCGAGGGTACTCTTTGCGCTGCTGTTGCGCTGGTACGCGCCCACGGTAAGGCCCTCGCTGCGGAGACTGCTGACGCGGCACTTGAATCAGAACATCCTCTGGAACTGCTTTGGTATGGCGCGGCAAGAGTTTCGTCAGGTACGCGAGCTTGACAGGCCACTGATGAAGGCCGTGGAGGATCGCATGGTTTTCTTCTACGTCGTCAGTGACAGGTGGGCGACACCGCAGCATGCACGTGAGGTACAGGAGCTGTGTGAGGGGCACGCCGGCTTTGTGATGGAAATGGATCCGAATATCCCTCATGCCTGGTGCCTTGACCACAACGAGGTTGTGATTGAGCGCGGCGTTATGCCGTTTCTCTGAGGGGACGCACCCGTGCGGTGGGTGCGCAGGCGCGCGGATGACGCTCGCCATACGCCGTGAAGCGCAGGCGCCTTCGTGCCCCTCCCCTTCCCTCCCCCGCCCCACCCCACTCTTGCGGTGAAACGGGAGGGAAAATTTTCCCTGTCTGGCGTCGCTTCTACATGTGGCTTCTGTCTGTCTGTGTCCGGAAGCGCACAGGAAAAACGACAATAATAGTGGGAAGAAAAAAGGACGACAACTAACTTACACTCCATCCCCCGTTTCCTCCGTTCTTACTTGACCAAACGCCCGGAGACAAGCACGCAACAAGGAGAACATGCGACGGGAGATAAGCGAGGCAGCAGAGCGGGGTCGAAAGGAAGGGATGAGTCAACAACAATAACAAAAACAACAACAAAGGAGCTTTTGATTATTATTATTTTTTACTTCTTCATGTGTGCATTTGTTTCTCAGCTCTTGTCTTTTAAGTTGTAACTTGTATAAATGATTGTTATTCTGTGTGTGTGTTTTTGTTCTTTCTGTCGCTGTTGTTTTCGCGGCCTGTTTATATCATTTTTCATCTTTGTCGCGCCCAATGTGGCTGCAGTTGGCGGCTAGGTGGATTGCTACTTCCCAATGAACCAAGGCGGCGCCAACTCTCTGCACGTAGTTGGAGAACCGACCTTTGAGGGTCTTGCCCGCTACATTGAACGGAACAACGTGACAAAGATTCTCGTCATGGCTGGCGCCGGCATAAGTGTCGCGGCGGGGATCCCCGACTTCCGTAGTCCCCACACGGGCATCTACGCAAATCTTGGGAAGTACAACCTCAACTCCCCGGCCGATGCATTCTCGCTGACGCTCTTGCGAGAGCGTCCAGATGTCTTCTACAGTATTGTGCGCGAGATGGACCTCTGGCCTGGCCATTTCTGGCCAACTGCTGTGCACTATTTTGTCAAGCTGCTAGCTGATGAGGGACGACTGCTGCGATGCTGCACACAAAACATTGACGGCTTGGAACGGGCCTCTGGGCTGCCCAAGTCCCTGCTGGTGGAGGCGCATGGGTCCTTTTCAACCGCCTCCTGTATTGGGTGTCGTTCTCCGTACGACATTGACTTAGTGAGCCACGAGTGCCGGGAGGGCAAGGTGCCCCATTGCGACAAGTGTGGTGACGTGGTGAAGCCGGACGTTGTCTTTTTTGGCGAAAGCCTCCCCGATGCGTTTTTTGACCTTTTCCAAGACTTACCGCAGGTGGAGCTGCTGCTCGTCATGGGAACCTCGCTCCAGGTTCACCCCTTTGCGGACCTGGCGGTTGGGGTGCGGCCCGATGTGCCGCGGGTGCTGTTCAACTTGGAGCGCGTCGGTGAACTCATGTTTCGCTTCCCCACGGACGAGCCGTGCCCGCAGCCGCCAAGCAGAAGCCCCAGCGGCTGCAGCCACTGCAGCAGTAGTAGCGAAGGCTACGGACAGTACGCCCACCACGTCGCGGACCCCGGAGGGATTTGTCGTGATATATTTTTCCCCGGCGACTGCCAGGAGACAGTGCGGCGCCTGGCGGAGGCGATGGGGCTTGGCGAGCGGCTGGCGGCGGCCGTGCAGGAGGGCGAGAGGAAGCGTGAGAGTTACGTTGCCCCGTAAACGAGGACAAACAACACAAACCGCACAACGCAGGAATAAACACGATAAGGAAGCAACGACACAAAAAAAAAACAGCTGCAAGGAGGGTGCGCAGCCAATGACGCATTCAACCGATGCGGCCGGACGAATAATGATCAACGAAGAAGAAAAAAACAATACTGCAGTAGGGTTGAACGAGCAGACGTTTTTTAAATTACGTTTGCTTTCTTGGTTTTCTCTTG